CTGGGGTTGTGGCTCAGTGGTAGAGCGCTCACTTAGCACATGTGAGGCCCTGGGTTCGATCCTCAGCACCACATAAAATAAATAAAAAAAATAAAGCTATTGTGTCCAACTACAACTAAAAAATAAATATTTAAAAATATTAAAAGGGAAAAAGTCCCTGGGTTCAATCTCCAGGACCAACAAATAAATTAAAAAATAAAACAGAAAATACACCAATTATCAAAAGTGACTCAGAAGATACTGGAAACCTACAAGCCCTATTTTTACTAAGAAAATGAAATTTATAATTAAGAATTTCTCCAAAAATGAAACAAACAAAAATACATTTTTCAAAATGTCATGTCTAGCTGGCTTTACTGTCTAATTCCGTCAAGCATGTGAAGAAGTAGCATTAATCCTATGTGAACTCTTCTAGCATTGCAGGCAGAAGGAACACTTCCTGGGGTTTTGTGATACCAATAGTTTGTAGACACCAAACTGCCAGTGTTACCATGACACCGCAAACTAGACAAAGTTTTTATCACATAACTACAGACTGACATCCTCATGGACATCAACACAAGTAAACAAAATATTAGCAAGTTGAATTCAAAGGTCTAATGGATTGTGACAGCAGATTTGTCCCAGGAATGCAAGGTTGGTTTGGCATTCAAAAACCAATGTGTACAATTCATGCCACTAACAGAGGGAAGAAAATCATATGGTCATATCAATAGATACAGGAAAATCATGATAAAACCCAAGAGGATTATTAAAAACCCAAAGCTACACATTGTGCTGGGAGAGGAAGCCCTAAGTGGCTCCCAACTGGCTGGAGTGAGCTCCCTTTTTAGGCATATAAGGCTGTTTAGTTGGATATGACCTTTTTCCACAGGCAGCTAGTTCTAGGGGCTAATTACTTATCCTGCAAAAACTCACTTCCTCACCTTCACTCCTACTGTTCCTTCCACCTGCAAGACTTTCCCCTCATCTCTACAGAATTTCTTTCTGGCTACTCTGAAGATTTGATCTTTGGCTTTCAGCAATTTCCAGGATTGTTCTTTTGTTTTGAAGTTACTTATCCTGATGATGCTGCTATAAGCAAATTCTTCAATCTGTGGTTGGTATCTTTCATTAGTTCTGAAAAATACAAATATTTCTTCCGCTCCATTTCTCTTTTCTGCTGAAATTGCTACTGCAAATGTTAATGCCAGTTGATACTGGCCCACAGTTCTTGGATGCTCTACTTTGGGTTTTCCATTCTCTTCTTGTATTTCAGTTTGGGCAATCTCTATTGACCTATCTTCAAGTTCATTGATTTTCCCCCCTTACGTATAGCAAGTCAACTGCTGTGCCCTTTGAAGGCATTCTGTGCCCCTGCTGTTTCTTGCTAGCATTTCCATCAGCTCTTTCTGCTCCCTTCTCTGCTGAAACTCCCATCTGTATATGCATACTGTCTACCTTTTTCACTAAAGCTCTTAATATATTAATCATGCTTAAACTCCATCTCGACAGTTCTAACATCTGAGCCATATCTGCTTCTGGTTCTATTGATTGTTTGATCCTTGGCAGTGGGGCCTTTTGTTTTGCTATTCCGGTTGAAAGCCTGACACTGTTTGGTAATGGAGGTAAGCAGTACTTAAGCCTGAAAACAGGCCTATTTCTGCTGAGCCTGTGTAGTACTGGGTATTGAATCATTCTGGTTAACAGCTGACAGGGGTCTGGGTTTTGTAGTTGCTATTATTATCCTTCGAGTATGCCAGGCTTCATATTTCCCCAGCAATACCTTGCTCGGGTGTGAGATTTATTTGTCCAGAATGTTCTCAACATCTGCTCCACCATCACTTCAGGCTGCAGGTACAACTGCATGCTACTCACTGTCATCTGCACAGTAGTAGTTCTATCTTTCCTTTACTGTCAGGCCTAGGCCTTGTGACCCTGGATGTGTGGATGTGTCATGAATCCCACCCCTTCCCCAAGTATATGAGACCTCAAATGATAGTCACAGGGTACGGCTGGAGCAGCAGCCACCTCTTCCTCCAAGTCTGCACCACTAAGAAAGCATTTTTGCCCCTGCCCTGGGTCTTTTCCACAGCACAGTGCATGCTGGTGAAGAGTCCGGAGTGGCTGCAAACTCTCTTTGTTTCTGTGGCTCCCAGGGGCTCTATACACCAACCCTAGTCCACACTTGGTATAGCTGGTGTTATGGTTTGGATATGAGGTGTCTCTCAAAAGCGCATGCAAGAAAGTTTAGCTGGTAGCAGATGCTGAGGGCCATTGCCAAGTAGGAATGACGCATCGAAATTTCCTTGCCAGCGTACCCCATGTTGCTTAGAGGACATTCGCTGGGACATTGCATGTATGCTTTAGTAAGGTGACCTTGCTCAAGGACCAGGGCGGATCCCTGGTCCTTGAGCAAGCAATGGCACATGCCTGTAATCCCAGTGGCTTGGGAGGCTGAGACAGGAGAATTGAGAGTTCAAAGCCAGCATCAGCAAAATCAAGGTGCTAAGCAACTCAGTGAGACCCTGTCTGTAAATAAAAAATACAAAATAGGGTTGGGGATGTGGCTCAGTGGTTGAGTGCCCCTGAATTCAATCTCCAGAAGCTGCCCCCCACCAAAAAAAGTTTAAAGGTGAAATGACTGATTAAGAGAGCCTTAACCTAATTGGTGCATTAAAACTGATAAACTGGTTGGTAATGTAGATGGGTGGGGTGTGGCTGGAGGAGGAGGGCATGTCTTTGGGGTATATACTTTGTCCCTGGTGAGGGGAGTCTACTTCCTGATTGTCGTGTCCTGATCCCCAGCCACAGCCTTCTGCCATGATGGATGGAGCTGGCTGTCTGTGGACTGAGAACTCTGATACTGTGAGCCCCAAGTAAGCTTATCCTCCTCTAATTGTTCTTGTCACCTSTTTTGGTCAGAGCAGTGAAAGAGCTGACTAAAACAGCTGGTATTCAACATTTCATTAAAACTTAGCCGACTACTTACCAGCTTGGATGGCAAGCCCTCCCATGGTCTGTTGGGCCTAGGAAGCTCGGTCATTCAAGATAGGATAAGAGATCCCTCTGTGATGCCTGCTGTCTGATGGGTTCAAGAAAACTTATGACTGGTAGAGCATTCAGCTTTATCTGATCATTTTGCTAACAGAATTTCTATTTGTCTTTCAAAGTTCTTGCACAACCTTAGGAGTCAGCCCCTTGGCTCCCTGCTGTGACCTCCCCCCCACCGACTCGAGGGATGTGCAGTGCGCCCAGCAGTAGGAGCTTTGTTGTTGGCCAGCCCCGATGCAGACCTCGGGTGACTTTTGTGAAAATCCTGGATGCGAGCGAACCTAATTCCACTTTGCATCTTAACTGGTGCGACCTAGACCCCCACCGAGGCTGCTGGGCGCGGTGCCCTTGCAGCAGGTAAACGGCAGGTGACAGTCCCGGACGGCGTGGCCTCAGCCCAGTCACCGCCCGCCTCCCAGCCAGCTCTCGGGATCAGCCGGGCTCCGCACCGCCGGCCCCGCCGTAGACGCGCGCGGCCCTTCAGCGTCCCCCATCCCCGKCCCGGTGCCCGACGGCCGAGCCGCCCACCTCCGCTCACAGCCGGAAGACAGCCGGGACCRGCCAAGGCAGGAGCCCGCGAGCTGGAGGCGCCTAGAGAGCGCCAGGCCGGCCACCACACGCTGCCGCCGCACAGGAACTCACCGCGGGCCGCCGCCGCGACCCTGGCTCCACGGCGCCTGCGCGGCCCGGCTCCGCTTCCGCTTCCGCTTCCGTCGCGTCCTTCCGGTTCCGTAGTGGAACCTGTGACCCGGCTGCTCCCCGGCCGAACTCGCGGGCTCTGCCTGCCGTTCGCACCTCCCCGAGGCGCCCGGCCCCCGGGGCTGTCGCAGGTCAGGGTCGCCGGACCTTGTCAGCTCGCTGCGTCCTGTCGCCCCGCACGTGGGAGGGGGCCGTGCCCACTCCCGGGCCGACGGGCTGGGTCAGCAGGAGCCCCGGCGTGTGTGGCCTCCCAGTGGCCCGCGACGCCTCTGGTGGTCTGCGCCTCGCGCCCTTTTCAGCCCGCTGTTATTTGGCCCTCAAATGCCCGCCCCACTCCTGGACCCCGTTAATGGGAAGCACCAGTCTGCGGAGTTACAGGCGCGAATTCTGAAGCCAGCAGGCCGAACTTGGCTTGTGGACTCCACTCCTGGCCTCTCCCTAAACGCAGTGGGTCTTCACCTGAGCTTTGGGGGAGAACAGGATTCGCTACGCCTCTTCCCCCGTGATTTGGGGTTTTGTTCTGTGGGAGAGATGACCTGCTGCAGCGGCAGGTCTCACTGTTCTGTTTCACCAGGCCGCAGTCTTCTTCGACATCCTGCATAGTTAGTGGGGTCTCTGGACCAGTTCCCCAGGCTCTGTGAGACATATTCACTCATTGCCTATGGGGCTGCAACTGTACCTCGTAGACCAGAATTTACCCTACATTTGTCAATCCACATTTAAAATTGCCAGTTAAATGGGACTGGTGCCTGGGACTCATTCCTTTGGGGAATTGAGAATTATAGTGAAGCCAGAATTAGGCAGATAGGCAAGGGTCAAATCCAGAGAATGGAGGGATTGAAATATTAATTCCTTCAGAGCCCTTCCTCCACCTTTATCAAGAACCTGCCCCTGCTCCCACCTGTTGCTAAGGTAAGCTGCCCCAGGAATTGTCCCTCCCTACRGGGAGTTGTAAAAGTTGCTAATTAATTCACCCTGGGCCCCTTTCCTGCCCAGAACACTCTTCCCTGGCCCCTCCAGCTGGCCTGTCTCCCACCTTTTGGCCATCCCAAGAGCATCTCCTGGACCTAGTCATGCATAAGAAAGGAGAGAGATAAGGGGAAAGAGGGCAGGAGAACAAAAGAAGCCTAGGCTATACAAAAAGGCAGAACACCCTCACTTCTTGGGATACTAGGATACCAGCTATGGCCCCCTTCTCCCTCTGGGGAGAAGTCTATGTTACCCCTTTTTAAACAAACCCTGTTTTACATGCTTGCCACAGCGTGCTTCTCTAATATTATGCTTCAACATGTGAAGAAGCAGGTAACTGGCAGTATCAATAGGAGGATTTTAGATAATACCTAGTGAAAGACCCTAGCCCAGTTAGCCCAGTTACCTAAGGCCAAGATATGAAATCAAGATACCGGGCTTGTCATAAACAGGCTCAGACTCCGGATGTGCTTTCCATATAACCGGTTGAGAAAGGACAGAGCACCCGCATCCTGAGGCATGAATGAATAAACAGGAACAGATAAGCAGGAACAGAAAGAATAGAATGCAGACCTGTGGTTTTTGGAATGCAGACCTGTACCCCCTAGGTGGCCTATATGCTAGATTTAAACAAACCAATAAGAAACCTGTTGCTTCCCACTGGCGCGCGAAACCTGTCCCAAACCCTATAAAAATCTTTGTATCCCCAAGCCCGGTGTGCCAGTTCACCAAAGCTCCGGCTGAGGTTCTGCTGGACACCCGCAGGCGCCTGTGTCCCAATAAACCTAAACCTCTTGCTTTTGCAGCCAGTGTTTCGTGTGATTCTCCTTGGACAGGGAAACGGGGRTTCTTTCAAAAAAACGGGGTGTCTTTCACTAGGACTAGAACCACTCGGACCTGGGCAAGAGTTAGCAAGCATTTTATTTCCTCACTAGTAGACATCAGCTATGCTTACARCAATGATATTCTTCCAATCCCTTTAAAGATAATATACTAGATTCATAGATTGTTTTTGTTTTCCAGATCTGCCCAATGAACTTGATGAAGCATGTCAGATTTAACCTATGAGGTACACTGTGGTAATCCCATGAATGCTACAGCAGACTTATTTTAAACCAGTTTGCATGCAGTGTAAGAGTAAATTGAAATACTAAGAGCAAATTGTGGTCTTTAGCACAACCAAGGGTTAGTTTTAAAAAGTTGTTCAGTGATTAGAAAAAGCTTACCAAAAATCCAAAATCATTGAAAATATTCCGTAAAGTTTTAGACAAAAGTGGTTTCAGAAAATAGACTGCATATGAAATAATCATTGAAATGACATTCAGGTACAATGTAGGGAAATTAGAACCAGGAAACATTTATGCATAATCCTGAAACTAATTTTTGTAGAGACTATTTTCTGGTCACTATAGCTCAAGATATAGCTTCTATTGAAGAAAGATTTGAGCAAAATGACAAGTGACCCACTTTAATTTTTAGGCTTTTAAAATGGTGGCATTGAAAAATGTAAAAGAAGAAGAACTTAAAGAAATCCTGTTGTTCCAAGAAAAAGTACTAATTGGGAAATAACAGTAACACTAGATAATGATAGAGAAATGTAATGTTTTCTGTCATAATTTTTCATATGTAATGTAATGTTTCAAATGTAATGTTTTCTTTCATAATTTTTCATATGTACCTTCCTAGTAATGTTTAAACATGATATTAGTATTCATAATTCTGAATCTAAAACTTAAGGAGTCCTATTCATAATTACAGTGGATACACAATTGTTTTTATTTGGCACTGTCAAGAACACCATTGTATGGAAATATTTATTACATTAACACAATGATTTTTCTGAAGAAGGCAAGAAAAATAAAATTTGTGGAATAAATAATGTGTGGATTACATATTTTTATTACTCATCTAGTCATTAGCAGCCCAAAAATGCATAATGACAATTCAATTTAGTTATCTTTGCTTTCTTGCCAATTTTTAGTTATGTAGGAGTCAGAATTCCACACATAATTTTTGTTTTGTTTTTATAAAGGTATATTTATCAAGGTAAGTGGATATAACATCGTATGTAACAGTTTGCATATCTTATAGCTTTCAAATATTTGTATAAGGAGATTTATATTCTGGCCCTGGGCCCCACAGATTTTAGGAATGGGCTTGGTGGGGAAAATAGTTGCATAAATGTTATGGTAATATGTGGCGAGCCAGCCATGGGCTATGTGTGTGAGCTATGAGCATTTTGAGCGCACAAAGTGGACTGGACTGAGGATGCTGCTCTGTCTGGGCTGTGCACATATGTGTCCCTTGCTTGATACTCTTATCTCCCTGATAGTTAAAATTAGTGTGTCTGTGTTTCTTTGTTTCTTGTCTTTGGTTTTCCTGTCAAGAGGAAACCCCTGTTTTCTCCCCTTCCCCAACATGCCTGGGGTTGTCCTGTGACTGCTGTATTTCTCACCAAGAAGCCGAGACTCTGGTTTCATTTGGCAGGACCAGCATCTGCCATCCTGGTCCTCAGCCCAGCCTCCTCCAGCCTTTGCTCCTGGGCCCTCCTTCCTGGACTCTGCTGTAGCCAGGCCCCCAGTGCTTCTCTGAGGCCTCTCAGGTTGTACTGCCTCTCAAGCCATGTGTTTATGACCACGACCCTTCAGGCTCATCAGTAACYCATTCTCTTGCCACAGCTCTGGGTCAAGAGTTGTTAGCTGGCACTGGTCCTGGGAAACACTTGCTCCCATCCCTGGTGCTCCCTTCTTGGGAGGCAGCCAGAGTAACCCTGAGTCTGTCTCAGCCCCTGGAGGAAGCAGACCCTTTAGCTGGTTGCTGAATTTGCAGAGCATGCCTGGTTGTACCCATCCATGGAGTCATATGAGTCTTGCCTGCTCCCATTGGTTGTCACCTCTGAAGGCAGCATTGCCTGCCATAGGCCTAACACCCCACAGACTAGTGCAGGGGGGTGCGTTTGACCACACTGCAGCCAGCTTCCGTCAGTAAAAAGCAATCATTCAGCCCCATGTGGACTCTGTCCAGTARTCAGGTGATCTAATATGAAGGTGTGCTCCAGGAGGGAGTGGCCTGTGGGGGCCAGCCATGCCCATGACCTCCCCACCAATGGAGTTAGAACATCTATATCTGCCCTTATGCTTACTGTGTGAGTAGCCTTGAGCAAGTTGCTAGGCTTCATTTTCTCACCTGCCAGAGAAGCCTAAGCCTGCCTGGTTCTCTGGAAGATATGGAAAATGTGCACCTGGGGACGGGGGCCTGCCACTGCCATTCCTGCACAGGTCAGGGTGACCAGATGCCAATGTGGTGTCCCTCTTTCCCTCTTTTCTGGCCCTTGATTGAGGACAGGCACCGTGTGTGTGTGTGTGTGTGTGTGTGTGTGTGTGTGTATGTATGTATGTTTCCTTTAGTAGTGAGATTGAACCAGGGACGCTCTACCACTGGGCTACAACCTCAGCCCTTTAATGTTTATTTTGAGACAGGGTCTTGTTAAATTGCCAAACCTGGCCTGCAACTTGAGATCCTCCTGCCTCAGCCTCCTGAGTGGCTGGGATCTCAGGTATTCAGCACTGCTCCTGGCACCACAGGTGTATTTGCCCCTCATGTAGAAATCACTGCAAGTCTCAGAAGAAACCATGCATTTAATTCTGATAAAACTTAAAGTGACATCTACATAAACAAACGTGTTTCTAAGTAAAAATATAACATATATTAGCCCTTGTTTCTTTTAAACAATAAACCACCATTGCTTATTCCTAAATAATGTATATGCCATAAATAATCAAGTGCCCTGAATGGACATGCTGCTATATTATATATAGACTGTGCTGTATCTCACCATGAGCCCATATGCACCTTTTTAACAAAAGCCACGCTCCTTAGTCAGAATATAAAAAGTTGACTTGAACTGCAGTAACATGAAGGAGTAAATGGAAAATTTCAGACTTGAAGGGCTCCCATCCCTTCCCTAACTCAAGGGGAAGTCCTAGAACTCCCCACAAGGCGCCTGGAATTCTAGCCATCAGGAGTGGGGACGAGGAGGCTCCATATCCCTGGTCTGCAAAGGGGACTCCCTGGGAGGCCCAGCCATCTGGGGCTTTGYGTGGGCTGCAGCTGTGGGTCTTGCAGCTGGAGGCTGCCTCACCCTGGCCAGTTCCAGAGTGGGGCCTCATGCTTTTTTCTTCAAATCTGGTCCTCAAAACCAGTGGGTATAACTACCCCAAACTACTGTGGGCTCCCAAGAAATGAGGGCTTCACCTGGACCAAGAGTCACTGAATCCATCTAGAGGGARATCGATCAGGAATTCCACATTGTGTGCCTCTTCTCTCCTTGAGCAGTCTGCTCCTACGTTTCACGGTCCTGACAGCAGGGCCCAGACTGGGGATACTTCCAAATGTAGGGCTGTACTTTGTGAAGGATCTGGGTAGAAAACGTGGCTGAGCCACTAAACCTTCCTTAATCCCACAGACTGCATTTGGAAAGCACTTCTTCTATCTCTTGACCTGTTACTGATCAAACMACGAGGTAGACCATTTTCTTCCCATTGATGTTTCTGGTCTTCAGCCCCAGGTACCGGTGGCTGTTCTTCTCTGGCTGCCCATACAACATGGTGGCGAGGAACTCCGACTCATCCTTGTGCTTAGACTGAGGGGTCAGAAATGTAAATGCAGCTCTTAGTTTGCGACACAGGTAGGTCATGGCTTCCACCTCGTCCGATGGCTCCTCATACACAGGCTGCTTCATCTCCTCATAAGCAGAGAGGATCACAGCCTGAAATAAGTTGATCAAGATACAGATCATCACCAGCATGAATGATGACAGGAACAGAACCCCAAGAACTCTGTTACTGGAAAATTCAGTGTCCTGAAAAGCCGAGACGCAGTAGGAAAATATCGTCTGAGTGGCATGAACCATGTTACTGTAGTGCCATTCATGCTGACCAAAGACCAGGTAACCAAAAGCCATGTACACAAAGAAATACACAGATACCACAAAGGCCATGTGGCAGATGCCAGGCAGGGCGGCCTGGATGGCCCTTTGAGCCAGGCGTACATCATAGAAGACTCTGGAATACCTGAGGGTCTTCAGAATGGTCAGAAATAACAGGAAAGCCAGAATAATCCTCATGGTGTGATCTATTTGAGAAACCGCATGGAAGGGAATGAAGTCTTCGGGGCTGGACAAGTAGAACTGAATCACACCAGTGGCCAAGAAGTGCTTACTGACAAAGAGCATGATCAGCAGGGTAAATATGCATTTTAAAGCAAAGTTGAGCAGATTATAAACACTTTTCATGTAGGAGGCTCCTTCTTGCAAAATTACGTAGCCCTCATCCACAACATAGGCTAGAAAAAAAATGAGAATGGCCACATACAAGTAGATCTCTGCTGATGTTTTCCTGTTGAAGTCAGCAAGCGGGAAGGAGTGTGTGGATATGCTGGAGTTGACTACCCCCAGCTGTGAGACCTCAAATAGGACTGAAATGCTACAGAACAGGTTGACGTCTGGATTAAAAGTGGTTAGTTCCAGAATCACAGCCCATGTCTTCTCATCAAGCCATTTGCCTCCTTGGAGTTCTTTGAGCCTCAATGTGGAATTAAACTGTTGCTGTTCTGGAAAAAAATAGAATGCATACCCTCCAGATCCATAGGTATTTAGCAGTCCATAGGAATAATACACCCATTTTTTTTCTCGGGGCTTATAAGTAAACCCATTGGCGACATTGTCTGTCTCATGCTTGCTAACTGCATTCCAAAAGCTAGAATAGTTTTTTGTGTCTTCTGGGTCAGTGCCGTACTTGGGACGACAATGGATCTCTTTTGAGATGCTGTTCTCCACGAAGTTCTCAGAAGGCAGGCACACTCGTTCCCCAGCTTTTGCTCTCACTTGCCTCAGGAGCGGAAGGCCAAGGATTTTAGAAGAGCTATCGATAAGAAACGTTGGGTTCAGGTCATTGTGGAACAAAGGCAAGAGTACACCATCAAGCCATCTGTAGATGTCTTGCAGCTTTGTCACAGCAGCAAGATCCACAGAGAACTGATCCCGGATAAACTGATTATAGTAGAAGCTGTCAGTGTGACGCAGGAGGGCAATAAGGAGCAGCAGAAGGGCCAGGAAGATGAAGTGGGTCAGAAGATAGCTCAGGAACAGGATGGCCCTTCTCCTGATCCTCTTCTTCCTTCTGAATATTCTGATTTCATCCTCGGTGAGAGGCTGGTACATCCTTGAGCCCTGGAGGTTGAGGATGTGCTGGTGGAAGGTCTGCATCTCCTTCGGAGGCACTATCAGCTCCCGCAGCCTGATCTCAATGTAACCGTGCTTGGTTGACCAGGAAAGGTTCTTGCAGTACTTCGGCTTACTTGTTTTGGCAGCCGACAACAGTATAATCTTACAGGGCTGCACCAAAAAGACCGACTGACAGAATGAGCACACAGATGCAAAGAGCCATTCCACTGACTTTTCATAGCCGTAAGTCAGCCCATAAAATATGATGAAGAATGATGACATGCTACAGGTGGCAAACACCAGGAACCATGCCACATAGACACACCACGAAGGCAAGGTAAACTGGGGCTTCTTGTTAAGGTGCTGAGGACTCTCTTGCTGAGAAGGAACAGCTTGATCGTCTTCTCTATTTCTGTTACTGGCATTTGTGTTGGTCTTGTGGATGTCCGAGGAGCTGGTCTCTTCACTCACACTTTGCTGCTCCTCTTTAAAAGTGACTCGAACAAAAGACTTAGAAGGCCCAGGCTTGACCCTTGAGTTGCGGCTTGTCGGTTTCTTGATGGTKGGGGCTCCCCTGGCGACTGGGGTTTGCCTGGCCCTCACTGTCCTCTTGGTGCTTGACTTTTCTGTGGTGTACCCCTTGGAAGTTTCGTAAGCATGCCACTTGTCCAGGCGCTCTTTCCAGTACCCACTTTCTTCTGACAGAAGGGGATGCTTYTGAGGAGCCACCTCATCCGGACTCACTTGAGGTCTCTTCTGGGAGTAAGTAAAGAAAAATGTTATTAATAGATGAACAGGGATTGTRATTATGACACTTTCAATTCCTATCATCATTGATCTGATGTAGCGTCCCTCTTTTGATTGCTCTTTTACGTTTAGATTAAAGAACATGATGTTACAAACAAGGGAGCTGAGCAACATGGCTAAGCAGCAGGACAGTCTTTGAAGCCTGTTGAACGACTTAGAAACAATATTAGTAAAAACAGAGAACCACAAGTGGTTCTTCCCTAGCCTCCTGGTCATATCTATCAGGAAGTAGTCCTTTCTTTTCAGAGGCTCATCTGGGAGGGTAACAGGAAATGTTTCTTCCAAAGTGGTGTCAACAGAAAGCCACTTCCGGCATATGAATAGCCAAATTTGTCTGTTAAACAGATTTTCCACTTTGATTCTACTTAAATACCAGCTTGGAGCTCTTCCCTCATTGTTGTGCCACACACGGATGGAATGGATGTCCCCCAAGTCACTTTTTGTTGTAAGGAGGAAAGTGTTGATGCTCCCACGGTAGAGAGTCTTAAAATGCGGATGGCTTAAACAATGCACATCACTCTTACTCTTTGTTCCATTAAGTTGGACAAAGACATTGGCCCTGGTCCCAGCCCCACAACGACTCCCTGTAAAAACAGTGATCAGATAGCACATGCTGTCATAAGGATCATTATCGGGCAGAATTATCACATGGTCCCGAAGAAACTGGTCCATCTCATCCCTGTGCAAGGCCCAGAAGGCCAGCACTGTGTAGAGGAGTATGATGAACAGCACAGTGAAAAGGGTTACAGGGTTTTGGCTGACATTCCCGATGACTGTGAGCCGTAGATCCACAGGATTTGGAATCACGATCACTCTGGCCGTCACAAAGTGGGTGTGCAGGCGATGGTAGGCCAGCTTGAGTGCACCCAGCTGCCGCCTGGTCCTCACCGCGCTCTTGCAGACACAGTGCACTGTATCCCAAGTGGTCTTCTCACCCAGCACACAGGTGTCCTCCTTCCAGTCCCTCTGGATCCCGTACATGTCCATGCAGTTCACACTGAAGAGAGAGATTCTCACTAGCTTGTCACTGGGCTCCAGGACAAAATGAGGTGCCTGCAGAACCATGGATATGGTACACTTGGGTGAGTGGCTGCGCTGAGCTATGATTTGTAGCACGGGTGGTGGCAGGCAAACCACGCGGGCCTCCCTAACGGCACAGGCTGCGTCAGATAGGTCACTCCAACTGTGGTCTACAACTGGAGGGACGTCGTGAGGCATGATGTAGACAGCGACCACATCAGCAGGGGCACCCTGACTGCCTGCGTACACAAACACCTTGAACAACACAGTCACTTCTGTAACAAAATGGATCAGCACCTCCCTGACTCTTCTGATGTCCACTTCGAATTCAAACCCCCCTGTTGTTTTCTTCAGGGACCCCTCACGCTCCTTGCTGGGTCCCACCGTGAGATTAAAGTTCGCAGAGCTCAAGTTTTTTCTGACGAGGTACACATCTACTACATCAGGTGTGATCTCTATCACTTTTCCCTTTTCTGTGGCCCCTGTCATTCTGAACCCAATCACCCCTGCAGAAGTGTTTTCTGCAGCATTTAACCAAGGAAAGGGGTAATCTGTGAACTCATAAAACATCATAGAAACTGGAGCTTTTTCAGGAAGACCAGGAACCCTGCTTGCATTCAGTGTAGCATGGAAGCAATTTCGGCAGCATTCCTCATTTCTGAAAGCCTGGGAAACGTCCCACTTTTCAACTCTCTCCACATACATGTTCAGCGTGGGAGTCCTCAGCACAGTGGTCTCATTGCTTGGCACTTTGTCAGCCAGTATTGTGTCTGACAGAGATTCTACTACTTTGAAAGGATCTTCGACCACTCGACCCTTTTGAATGATCAGGTGGAGGATATTGGACAAGCTCATCAGGATTCCAGTGCTCATGATGTCTATCTGCTCAGAGCGAAAGTTCTTGTCTTTTCGTTGATACTCCTGCAGGGCCTGGTTTGCTTGCCATAGCTTCTCTAGGACTTTCTGCTGAGCCAGTTCAGTGAATTCGGAGCCTTTCTGAGTTAATTTGGTGATGATCATCACTACCTGGCCAATTTCATCCAAAGTGTTTACAGGAAGCTTGAAAGACTGTTTGACAAGTTCTTCCTGGAGATTGACTTTGTCACCTTGGAGTGTTGGTTCAGTTTTCATGCTATTCAAGACAGAAGCCACTACATATATTAAGTAACCTGCAGGTAACATGTCCTGCTTTTGAAGCAAAGTGGACAGCAATGAAGTGGGTCCTGTGGTGAGATGGACTAACTGATCCAACACAGTCTTTGAAGGGTTTTTGTCAGTAGGAGCCTGTACGGTGGCATAAAAGGTCACCTGAGAAAAAGCTCCTAGGGAGTCATAAACCTGGGCATAGAACTTCAAGGCATAATGATTCGCTGGCACACCAGCAGGGAGAAGGGAAGGAGGTGCCGTGGACCCTGTCCCCAGATACAGGGTGGTCCCCATGGTGTTCTCTTCCACTGAACTGATTTCTCCAACACTCTCCACATCGGAAACAATGACTTTATATGTAAGGGGAATGTCTTTATCCTGGAAATTACTACACTGGACAACGAATTGAGTAACAACTGCAAATCCTCTAGCTGGATTAACTTGGCATTTCCCAACTTGAGGCCCATGGTTGATGATGAAGCCATATCTAAACACCATGGTCATGCCCTTCCAACTTGTCAGAGAGACAGAAACCCAAAACCGAGCTTCAGAGAAATGTGAAAAGGCAAAAGCTTTTACCAACAAATAAGCACTATTCCTCCCCGTTACAGTTTGCCTCGTCCAGTCAAATAACACCTCATCACCTGCTGAGGACAAAATCGACCAGTTGTAGAAGTCCCTGCTGACACAGTCTTTGCAGTTAAGGAACAAAGAGAATCGATCTGATACGACTAAACTCTGGCCGCAGTTTTCGGTGCAGGAGATGTGTGCTGTAGGCAGTGGTCCAGGGAGCACTCGCACCCTTTTATCAGAAAATGCTGACTTGGAACCCTTCTTTACCATCATTCTGAAATAATACACCCTGTCCCCTTTAAGTGTTTCTGGGGCCAGTGTCAGTTTGGGGCTGGAAGCCTGCAGCCAATTCAGACTAGTCTGCTCTGGGTGACAGACTTCCTTACTGAACACTGTAATTTGATCTAAATGGTAGTTGCTTAGATTTGTAGTACAGTACCAAGAAAAAACGAGCCCCTCTAAGGGCCTGTCTGCATCTGGGTCAGAAGACTTGCTTCCATCCAGAATCAGCTCATCTGTGAAATTCACTGTGACATCAGCGCCTCCGAGAAGGACTGCCTTCAGCGGGTGTCCGCTAACCTGGACGTACACGGCGTCTGTCGCGGATAAGACTTTTCCATCCCGCTTGTTGATGGTCATGCTGAAATTAAACACATACAYTCCCTGCTGCAGAGTGAACTTGGGGATGCGTAAGAGGGGCAGATTCGCCTGCAGCTGAATATGCAGAGGACGCGTCCAGTCGGGCAAGTGGTTTACGGAGCCGACGGGAAAGATCTGCCACTTGTAGACAATGTACACATTCATGCGGCAGTCGTACTGGACGGACGCGTTGATGGAGCTATCTTTCATCCAGATGAAGGGCACGGGGTCTTTGTCCCTGCGGATCTGCACGCGGTGAATGACGCAATCGGCCAACTGGCAGGACTGGGAGGGCGCTGTGCTCCTGCTGCCCGACGAGTTGGCCGCCTTCAAGCCTTCGCGCTCGGGCGCGCTCACCCGACACCTGCTCCGGCGGCCGTCGGGCTGCACCGAGCGGGGCGTGGGGCGGGCTCTGCCGGGTCCTGGCACCCGCGGGCTGGAGGTCCAGGCTGGACTCCAGGACGGGCGGCGGACGCGGGGCAGGGCGCGCACGCGGCGTTGGAGCTGGAGGGCCGGGTCCGCGCGCCTGGGGGCTGGGGCGCCGCTCCAGAGGACGCCGCCCTCCCGGGCCGCGCGGGGCTGCGGGCGAAGGCGGGCGAAGCTGCCGCGCTGCCCGGAGCCGGGGGCGCTCCTGAGGGCGCCCGACGGCCAGGCCAACGTCCCGCGGCGGCCCGCGGGCGGCGGGAGGTGGCCCAGGCCCAGGCCCAGGCCCAGGAGCAGGAGCGCGGGCCCAGGCCGCATGGCGCCCGCCGGGGAAGCTGCGAGAGCCGCCCGGCTCGGACTGGCCTAACGGCCAGTGGGCGCGGGAGCGGCAGCAGCCGCGAGAGCAACTGGGACAGCAGAGCTCGGGCAACGAAGGTCACGGGAAGATACTTGACACAGCGAGTTTTAGGATTAGGAAGGTTCTTAGAGAAACTGGACACGTGAGGTCACAGGGGCAGCTGGATCTCAGAATCAGGGAGGTACATAGAGCAGCTGGAACACTGGAGGTCCCAAGGTAAGTGGAGTCTCAGAGTGGATCTGGTGGGGACTCCAGAAAAGCAGGGACAAGGGAGATGGTAAGGGCTCACTGGGGTCTCAGGAACAGGAGGTGGCRAAACCCTTGGGCCATCTCTGTTGGCACTGGTGTGCAGGCCCCAGGGTCCAGGGTTGCTAAGTGAGGTTGATTCCAGTGGGTTTAACTGTGAGGGGAGAGGAAGGGGCCAAAGAGTCAAGGAGAGAAGGGAACTGGCTCAGGGCTCACAGGGTTGTCTTACTTGATGGAAAATAATTTGAGCACACATCAGAGGTATAGAGGAGGTTTATTCAGGACAGTCCATACACATTCAGGGGAGGATGGGGCCACCTCAAGAAGGAGAAGCAGCCTTTTTGAAGTTTGGCCCTTCTTTTAGAGGAACCTTGGTGAGGGGTGGGTATGGGCTGGTGGGTGGGAATGAGACCAGTGACGTGAAGAAAGGTTCTGGTGATCCGGCCAATCTTAGGATGCTCAGGCCAATGTGRTCTTCATGATCTGATCAATAGATGGGCCCTGGAAAGTCTCCTAAATTGTAGATTTTTCAAAATATTGTATTTATTAGGGGTTAAGAGTGCACAGGTGGATTTACAGATTTTCCTGGAGTTTGGGAGTGATTGGCCTGGGAGAAAGACAGTATGGGAACTTCTGTATTAATATCTTATTTCCTTGTCCTTCCTTTATGTCTCCTTTATACTTATTTCTTATTCCTTCTATCCTACCTTATCCTGACCCACCAAGAAGGCTCCTTAGCAAAAATCCCACTCCTTGGGAAGACCAGTTCCCCCATGTTGGAAGTCAAGAGGCACTGTGAGCTCCTAAGGACCCAGGGAGATCTGACTTGGGGTACACTTTCCCCTACTTCTCCTAGTTTCCATGTGCACACACCAAGGAGAGATTGTGTGAAGATGGGAAGGATGCCATCCGTACACTAGGAAGGGGCTGTGTGAAGATGGGAAGGATGCCATCTGTACACTAGGAAGGGGGCTCACCAAGAATTTAATCATACCATCACCCCGATCTTGAATTTCTCTCCAGAAAATGAGAAATAAGCATTTAAGCCACCCAGTGAGTGGCATTCTGTTATGACAGCCCAAGGTTAGGGGAAATGTCAAGGSTCAGGGTCTCCGGTTGGGGTTATCAGAGACCATGTCGGGAAGAGGTCCCAGTGGAGAAGACCACAGGCCATGGAGTCCTTCAGAATTTACAGGTCAAGCCAAAGCATAGCTGGAGAGGAGCGGGGCTGGATGGGGGCTTGGGGTGCACAGGAATGAGGGGAGAGGGCTTCCAGGCAGGGAGCAGCTGGCTCTGCCAGATGTGCTGAGTCACCGGAGAGGACGTGGGTGAGGCTGCTGTTGGACTGGGGAACAGTCTGTGGTGCCCCGGACAAGAGCTGTGTCTGTGGTGCTTGGTGGTGGGGGGACAAAAGTTTGAGTGAGGTGGGCTGAAGAGGGAACCGGAGGGAACAAGGAAGTGGAGGCAACCACATACAACTCTTTGGGTTAGTGCAGAGACCTTGTGGAGCCAAGGTGTGTGGGGCAGTACCTGGGGGGAGTAGGAGAGGTGAAGGACTTTTTTTTTTTTTTTTTTTTTAATAATGGGGATGGAACTCAGGATGCACTGTACCACTGGGCTATAATCTCAGCCCTTTTTATTTTGAGTCAGGATCTCACAAAGTTACCTAGGGCCTCCCTAAGTTCTGAGGCTATCTTTGAATTTGTGACCCTCCTGCGTCAGCCTCCAGAAGCATTGGGATTCCAGGTGTGGCCAACACACCCAACACAAAGGTCATTTTAACTGTTTATAAACTACTATGTACAAAAAGATAAACTAAATACCACCCAAGTGCCCATATCCCAGCCAAAGAAACAATGCTAATGCAGCTAAAACCCTCTTGAAGAATTATTTCATCTGCAAGAAAATCCCACCCCCACTAGGTAATGATCAATCCAGGCCTAGTACTTCTCACTCACCCGTTTCCTTATTGTTTTATTACACAGGGACAGATCACTTAGCAATCTGTCAATTGCAGGCTACTAATGTAATCCTGTAATGCCACCCTACTGTACATGTTCTTCTACAAACTGTATTTGTGAGAATCATTCATGTTGATTCAGGTAGCTTTAGTTATTCATTTTCACAAACTTGTAGTTTTCTACTGATGGTAGTCAAAATTGGTTTCTATGTTCTTTTCTATGACCAGCGATATAGCTATCCAACCCCAAACATGTTCCCTCTCAAATGTAACTAGCATGTTGGCTAAGCAGAACTCCAATTTTAAGAAAAAGAATTTATATCTCCTCTCCCTACCCCCAGCTCATTCAGTCTCACTGTAGGAGGCCAGTTCTTTCCCACCCCTTGGATAAAAAGTRTTCTGTTCACCATTAGCTTAAATGAAAAGTTACTTTTCTATAATTAACTTATCCAGGCCCATGTAATAGACCTGACTTCATTCTACATTAACTTCTCCCAGTCCAAGCTCTTGGTCTTTGTCTTCTCCCCAGGTCATCTCTCACCCCTAAGTAGAATTGAAAGGGGAAGAGAGAGAGAGAGAGAGAGAGAGAGAGAGAGAGAAGAAAAAGGGCCTAGTTGGTGGTACCTGTGTGGCTGATGGCATTGAAGTTGACTTTTCCTTGGAGGATGCAGTGAGCTCTTGTGAAGGTCTCTTACCAATGGTCCCTCCATTAGGCAGGGCCTCTCCTAATATCCTTTGGTCCTGGGTGTGCAGATTTTGGGGTCACCCTGTACAAGCCTACCACCCTCCAGTTGACCCTCTTGGGTCAAGACCTGCTTTCCCTGTAGAGCCATGCTGAGGCCCAAGGAAATACCGGCACCCTTCGCTCTGCCAGAATTTCCTGGGATCGTAACCTCCTCCCCACTCCAGTCCCACAGCCCCTGCTTCTGCTTGTCCCTCAAAGCCACTCTTACCAGTGGACACCAGATTCTGGGCCCCAGGCTCTCCAGGGAGGCAGGTTGAGGGGTCTCAGGAAGGTCCTACCACTGGGCGGGGATGAGGGGAAGGAGAGGGAAAATGTACATGGTACCTGGCACCTTCAGTGGTCTCCAAAGATACCCTCCCCGCTGCCTCTTCAGCCTCTGCCCTTGGCACCCTGGACATGGTACCTGCAAGGGTGATCCAGCTCATCTCTGGCCACCCAGAGTTTTGCTTTTGGCCTTTTGGGCGGCCCCTGGTCATTCAGAGTGGAATATTGAAGATCTGGGGGTCTGAGCACCTTCATTTGTACCAGCCAAATGCAGCATACTCTTCTCCAAAGTGATAAACGATTTACAGTGAGCTGGGAGGAGGGAATGGTGAGGAGCCCCTAGCATCAACTCAAGTGCAAAATTTAAGAGGCAAGGAGAACCAAAATATAATTAAGATAATATTTCATTGAAGAAATTTTCCCATAAAATTAACCATTCCAAAGTGTAGAATTCAGTGATATTAAGTATATTTGCAGTGTTTTCAACCATCATCTCTATCTAGTTCCAAAACATTTTCATCACCCCCAAAGAAAACTCCATGACCATTAGCAGACCACCTCCCCAAGCCCCTGGCCACCAACAATCTACGTCTGTCTCTGAGGATTGCCTGTTGATGAAGTCCAATTTATTTTGTTCTAGGTGGTGGTTCTTTTGGTGTTATAGGTAAGAATCCATTGCCAAATCCAAGGTCATGAAGATCTTGCCTATGTTTTCTAATAATCTCATCGTTTCAGTTCTTACATAAACAGTAATTAATACAAATTTTCTGAAAATCAAAAGTAATGCAAAAAGCCATGATAAACAAAAATCAACATTTTAAATACAGACAAGATCTTGCATCACTCACCTAACTCCTGCAGCCTGGAGGAAGGTGGGGAGGGGTTAGATTAAAGCCCAGGAGATGGGGCTGGGTTGTGGCTCAGAGGTAGAGTGCTCGCCTARCATGCACAAGGCACTGGGTTCCATCCTCATCACCACATAAATGTAAAATAAAGATATTGTGTCCACCAAAAACTTAAAAAAAAAAAAAAAAAAAAGCCCAGGAGAGAGCCGCCTGCTTGGGAGCAGATTGATAGCAGAGCCCTGCCTGTCTTTGGTGTGGAGCCAGGGCAGGCAGGCGACTGCAGTAGTCACTCCCTGAGATGCTAACCAAAAGTGACTTCGTGAATATGTGGCTGTACCCACGCGTGGCATTCTTAGGGGGACTATTTATTTAATTGGTTTTATTTTTTTAAAATACACAACAGTGGAATGCATTACAACTCTTATTACACATATAGAGCACAATTTTTCATATCTCTGTATATAAAGTAGGTTGACACCCAATTTATGTCTTCTTACATGTACTTTGGATAATTAAGTCCATCACATTCCACCATCCTTGCTAATCCCCTGCCTCCTCCCTTTCCCTCCCACACCTAAGGGGGACTATTTAGAACTTGGAAGTGACCTTTGTCCCAGGCTCTCCTTCCTCTCAAGGGACTCTGGCTGCAGTCGCTTCCCCAAGAGGGTCCCCAGCAGACAGGAGGCTCTGGCGGGGGAGGGGGTTGGGAGGCCAGCCGGCTCAGGACCCCATGCGCGCTTCTTTGGGATGGTGCTCTGGCCTTCCCGCCCCAGGCTCCTATCTGATGGCTAAGGCCAGCGCAGACACCGAGGTTAACACCAAAGCAGGTTCCCCTCGTGCCCAGCAGCAGGGACGAGCCCTGGAGCACAGCCCCAGAGAGGCCCGCTTCAGCGCTAAGGAGTCCGGCTGGCCCCCGAGGGCGGGCCGGGGCGGGCCGGGGCGGGGCTGACCGACCAATGAACGGGCGGAAGAGCTCGGCCCCGCCCCGCCGCGCTCAGCCCGGAGCAGTCCCRGGAGGCGGCAGCGCGCGCAGCCCGGATCCCAGACCCAGACCCGAGTTCCACCGACTATGGCCGCGTTGGCGCAGCTGCGCGACTGTCAGGTACGCTGGGCCCCCCTCGGCCCACGGGGTGGCCCATCGCCGAGCAGGGCGGGACCGGCCTGCAGACGACCTGGGTCGGGCGAGGGGGCGCTGCCGAGGAGGACTGGCMGTGAACCCGGCGCCGGAGTCGGTCCTGGGCGCCCGGGCGCCTCGGTGTCCGCGCACGGAGAGGCTACACGATCCTCCTGTGGCGTCCCCACCTAGGAAAGCCCCTCGGAGTCGGGGAGACCCCAGGAACCTCCTAAAAAATTTGCTCAGCCGACATGACTGGTACAACAGGGACACCAAATGGAAGGGGGTTTCTTCAAATCGCCCAGGGGGACGGCCCTCTGCTGGCCAGGGTTATTTCCTCTATTCGGGGAAATCAGCGGGTCTTTGGCCTCTGGCCTGACACCAAGGGTGGCTGTGACAGTGAACACATCTGACCATCTTGAGATGTTTTCTCTGGGGGACTTGAGGGTCTAGTCCTCCYATAGAGTGGAAGGTGGGAGGTGTTGTCTGGTGGTTGACAGTGTTAGGTAGAGAGTCACAAATGGGTGTGACGGGAAAGGACCTTGAAGGGCTGCTGAAAGCCATAGGGAGCCTTGCCCCACAGCACCTGGAAGGTTGGGGCTTGGTATGTTAAGACATCCTCCAGAAAGATCATGTCACACCCTASGAGGTGGCCTGGACCCTCCCTGACCACCAGGACTGGCACCACCCCCCTTCACCCTGGCAACTGAAACATTAAGACCCTCACAAGGACACCTTGCTGAGGGCTAGTCAAATGGATGAAGGGGACAGGAAATTGAGGCTGAAACAGGGGGACTCCACTTTCTAAAAATCTCCAGCAGAGACTTACACCACCCTCTCTTTCTGTGGTCCACGCAGTTCTTATGCTGTCGTTAAAAATCAAGACTAGAGCTGGGCAAGCCTCTTTGGAAACTGCCCTGGGACTCCCCCCCCCCCCCAATAAAACTGGAGGGCAGGAGGGATGCACTGTCCCTCTGCTCTCTGAGAGAATCCACACTTTCCTTTTAGAGTGTCTCCTTTGCTCTTTTCTAATCCCTTCTAATAAACTCATGCCTGTTACTCTGAACAACATGTCTGGGATCTTTCTAGTGGATTTTTGTTTATTAGTACTGGGGTTTGAACCCAGGGGCATTTAACAACTGAGCCACATCCCCATCCCTTTTTATTTTTTATTTTGAGACAGGTTCCCACTAAGTTGCTTAGGGCCTTCCTAAGTTGCTCARGCTGGCCTCAAACTTGTGATCCTCCTGCCTCAGCCTCYTGAGTTGTAGGGATTATAGGCGTGCACTACCACACCCAGCTAAGAACTGGAGTTTGAAGAGCAGGGTCTCCACAGCTGCCATCATTTCAGGTCTGTGCCCTGTGACAGCAGGTGCTATACACTTTGCCAACCAGGTGGAAAGCCCACCCTCCTCCAGGTTGCTCTTAYGTGCTGGACTCCTCACCTGTAAGGTTGGACCTCCCTCCTGTGCTGAGTGTGTGCCTCCTCCAGACACTTCAGGTCACCCCCCTGGATCCTCCTGTTCCCGTTTTACAGAGTCTGAGAGGGAGGGTCCTGCTGAGGACAGACAGCTTTCAGGGATTGGATGGGACTCTGTCCCAGACAGGCTTACCTCTGGCTGTGCTCTGCACCGCATGAAGTCTCAAAGCCCAGGAGAGCCGAGAGCCGGGCAAGGCCACGTCTTACAGAAGCCTGAGTGCTGGGCATGGGCAGATGTGCAGGGTGGGGGGTGGGGCTCAAGTTCAAGGCACTTCATGGAACCTGGCCCTGGTGTTCCTTCTTCCTGTGTGTAGGCATGGAGGGATGCTGGGCTCCCACTCTCCACGCCAAGCAATGAAGCCTGCAAGCTGTTTGACGCCACCCTGACCCAGGTAAGCCTGCAGAGCAGCCCGCGCCCCTCCTGCGTGGCTCTGTGGAGAGCGTTCTGCACCTAATTGAAAGCTTTTTAAGGGAAAATCCGGCCCTTTGGGAAGTGTCTCTGTTGGCCACAAGTGTCTCTGTTGGTCTCTGTTGGTCTCTGTGGGAAGTGTCTCTGTTGGCCACAGTGTGGCTGAGAAGCCCTCTGTACTCTTCTCCTGAAGTCCCCCGGGGCAGGCAGACAACAGTGGACTCAGCTGAGCCCCCACCTGTGGACTGCTGAGGCTTTGATGTGGGCTCTGACCTKTGGGGAATGGGGACCTGCGCTGGGCTCATCTGTGAATTTGCCTGCGTGTGGCTAGGCCAGGACCTGAYACTGCAGATTTCTCCATCAGCGAGGGATCCTGTGGTTTTGGACCGAGGAGTAAAGTCCAACCAGTTGGACAGGTTGGGAAACAGAGGCCCCAAGGGTTGAGCTGACTAGAGTAGAAGGTGTCCGGGGAGTTAAAGGCAAAGCCAGGATGCATCTTGGCCCAGGTATGCTGAGGGAAGCCGACTGGACCCACTCAGTCCACACCACGGGAGGACCAGGGAGCTCTCAGAAGCATCTGAACTGCACAAGTTCACTGCTGAAGTGCCCTTGCCACCTGTCCTTGCCAAGTGACTCTGTGGTGTGCTTTGGAGCTGTCTGCTTTGTGCTTATCAGGGTTCCTCTTGTCCCTGCYGTGCCTTCTTGGCCCCTGGGGAGTACTTGAGCCCTTCCACTGCACAATCCTCATTTGGCAGCAGCTCACCCTCTTGCACATTCCACCCTGTATACTGGTGTCTCTGTGCCTTCCTGCRTCAGCAGGGGTTCATGTAGCTCTGTGCCAGCTACTCTGTGCCTTATGAAAAAGCAAAAGGACAGATTTTAAAATCCAATGCATTATTAATGACTTTAAGATTAAAAAAAAATAAGTATCTGTCTTAATCCATTTTCTGTTGTTGGATCAGAATGCCTGAGACTGGATAATTCCCAAAGAAAAGAGGTTTATTTAGATCGCAATTCTAGAAGTTCAAGAGCATGGTACCAGCATCTACTCAGCTTCTGGTGAGGGCCTCATGGCAGGAAGTAGAATGGGATAGGGACCAAGGAGTGGCCTGCTTTATAACCTGCTCAGAAAGAACTAATGTGGCCTCAAGGGAAGGACTTCCCTTCCTCTTAACGACCTGGTCACCTCAAAATGTCCCCGCCTCCAACACTGCTGTATCCCCAGCCCTATTTTAGTTATTTTTAAGAGGAGTGAATAAAAAGCAGGAATTGCAGGCAGAGAAGCTGATGTTTGGCAGGCTACCTGTCAGGAGGACCAGCCTTGGGTTTGGGAAATGGCATCACCAGGCCAAAAAGCATCTTGAGTCATCTGCGTTTAATCTCTTCCTAGGAAACCACAATTTATGCTTTCTAAGAGTTCAAAAGTTATGCTAGAGTTCCAAACATACCCACTGTCCTAGAGAGAAAAGGAATCTGGTGCTGGGGTGTGGCTCCGCAGTAGAGCATGTGCTTAGCCTGCGTGAGACCTCAGCTCTGAAAAAAAAAAAAATCCAGGTTTAGACTCTGCCTTCATTAATAAGATTTAAGAGGTCCCTGAGGACAACTTGTTTTACCTTTTTAATTCTAGTATGTAAAATGGACCAACGACAAGAATCTTGGTGGCATTGAGAGCTGTCTGTCAAAGCTCAGAGCAGCAGATCCGACCTTTGGTGAGTGATGATCTCCCCAGTGAGGAGCCGGTGTGGGCTCGGCTGGTGAGGAGGGCTGCTGAGGGCGGCCACGGGAGGGAGGGCCACAGCTGCAGTCAYGTCTGCTTCTGTAGAAGGCTCTTTCCAGATTTTTTTCCTGATTACCATCAATTCTTCACGAAGACACTGATCCACCTTCTGTGATGAGGAAACTGAGTTTCAGTGAGAATAAAACACATTCCCAAAGWTGTCTGAATCCAAAGCTCTGAACTCAGGAGGTGGTGACTACAGACTTTGTCAGAGCCACCAGGGTGGGGGCAGGGCAGAATCCGGTGGGACAGGCTGGCACACAGGCAAGCCTTTTGGGTGGTGAGCAGGGGGTCAGCACAGTGCATCCCAGACCCTAGGTGGGCCTCCCAGTGTGGGTTGAGGCTCTGGGCCTGGGAGGAGAGGAGTGGACTGGCAGCAGGGACCCTTCCCCACCTGCTGTACCCTGGTCCGCTAAAGGCAGAGGCCTCGTGCTGCCCTGGCAAAGGCAGAAGGGGATGGAACTGTGTTGAGAGCCACAGCCCAGTCGGGGTGGCGCCTGGCATTTTGCCAGAGGGAGTGGTTGGCCATCGAGCCATTAGGATGATGATAATTAAGTTAAGCTGTGTATAATTGCTGTGACTAGATGATGCTGGATTGGGGCAGGCTGTGTATTCAGTTGTATATGGACCCCCTGCTGTCCAGCAATAGGGCGGTGCCTGCTACTTTTGAGTTCTCGGAGTTCTCTGGGAGCCTGGTTGAGGGCGGAGAGAGTTCCTGGGGAGAGTGCATGGAGTACCGGTGAGAGTTCCGGGCAATAAAGTAGTTCTGTTTGAACCTACATTTTGTGCCCAGCCAAACTGCGGCAGAACTGGGGAGGAAAGGGGAAGCTGACCCCAACTTGCAGGGGCAGCCAGTGGTCAGGGTGGGCTCAGGTTCTTTGAGAAGACCTCAAGCCCAGGTCAGAAACAGGGGCCACATGGACRGGCCTAGCACTGTGGTAGTTTCTAGGTCCCAGGCCAGTGGACAGCCTGCCTCTCAAGGTGGGAGCTGGGAAGCCAAGGARGGGTTTGGCAAGCTGCTGCCCCAAGGCACCCTGACCCCCACTGTCAGCAAGTGAGAGCTGTGGGGCAGGGGTGTGCACCTCTGCTCTGGGACCGCGTGGGACCAACCTGAATGGTGTCCACTGAGCATCTCCAGGSGACAGAGCGCTGGTCGTAGTGACAGTACCAGCCCATGAACCCACAGACAGACCCCTCCCCCGCTCCTCAGGTGAAAGGGCAGGTGCTGGGGACATGGGCACTCGCCAGAGTACCCTGTTAAGAAACTCTGTGTGGCTGCTTCCAGGGCTGCCCTGCTCGACYGTGCACTGAGGGCCAGGACTGAGTTTTGGTCTTTGGCACAAGCCATCGAGCATGTGTCGTCTGGCTCACACTTCTGGGACGTGAGCTGGCCATTTCCCACATGGGGCCAGGGCTGGTCAGGGCCCAGCTGGGTCRTCTCAATCCAGAGCTGTTTTCCAATCCTCCGCAGCCATGGGCCAGGTTATCTCTAACGGCCTCGTGCTCATCGGCACGGGAAGCTCCGTGAGGCTAGACAGAGAGCTGGACCTGGCCGTGAAGAGGATGGTGGAGACCRCGCTCACCCAGCTGCTGACACCGCGGGAGCAGCTGCACGTGTCGGCCGTGGAGGCATTTGCCAAGGGGTGAGGGGCCCCCGGGGCCAGGGCCTGGCGCTGTGAGGCCATGTGGGGTGGTGTGCAGGCTGTCCCAGTGCCCTTGGGAAGGGGCAGCCTCAGAGGAATCCCCACCTGGGGGGCCGCTGGCTGCTGAATGCCAGGCAAGGAGGTAGTCGTGTGGGACCCCAACCAGTGTTCAGGGCGACTCGATTCCTAACTAAATGGCTTATTATTTTAACTAAAAAACGGATGGGAAGGCATTACAGACATATCCAGAAGAGAGAAGAGAAGAGGACATATTCACCCACTTACTGCTTACCACCCGGACTGTCCATTTGCTCTCCGTCCCTGACAAAGCTACTGAAATGATCAATTTACAAGGGGACCCAGGGACTCCCATAGGCTAGACAAGTCCTCCACCACTGAGTTACACTCCCAGCCCCTACTATGATTTCTAAAAACCAATTCAGTGAGTCGATCACAGTGTCATACTCTGTTATCCCAGTGACTCAGGAGGCTGAGGCAGGAGGATCGCAAGTTCAAAGCCAGCCTCAGCAACTTAGTGAAGCTCTAAGTAACTTAGTAAGACCTTGTTTCAAAATAAAAAATAAAAAGGGCTGGGGATATGACTTAGTTGTAGTAAAGCATCTCTAGGTTCAATCCCCAGTACAACAAACAAACAAGCAAAAAACAATTCAGGGCAGACTCCGACACCAGGTATCTTACGTTTCCCAAGTGCATGGGCTTTGTGTTCAGCGGAGCTGAGAAATCTCTCTTGGCTTCCAGGAACTTCCCCAAAGCCTGTGACCTATGGGAACAGATTCTCCGAGACCACCCAACAGACATGTTGGCCCTGAAATTTTCCCATGATGCCTATTTTTACCTGGGCTATCAGGAACAGATGCGAGATTCTGTTGCTCGAGTTTACCCCTTTTGGACACCTGACATCCCACTTAGCAGGTATGGTGGAAATCACATCATTTTTATATCTTAATTGCTTTCTTCATCCCTAAAAATATAACCACCCCTATGGACCTGCCCTAAAACTAATGAGACCGCTGTTGCTATTCTAGTTCTTCAAAGTTAAAAGGTTTCCTCTTCTTCATGTGCTCTTGCATCCTGAGAAAATGGTAGTACTATTATGTACTGGTCAGGATGGGATTGTTTGCTGCTATAACAAGTATTCCCTAGGGTTGGGGTTGTAGCTCAGTGATAGAGTGCTTGCCTCCCATGTGTGAGCCACTGGGTTCGATCCTCAGCACCACATAAAAACAAATAAATAAAAATAACGATATTGTGTCCAACTACATCTGAAAAAAAATTAAAACAAGCATTCCCTAGATCTTATTCTCTAAACTTTATTATAGCAAATTTCTCACGTATACTCCATGTCCATCTAAAGAAGGCCAAGGGTTCTGTGACAGTGTCCTTGTCTCCTGCTAGGGTCCCAGCTAGTGACATAGCTGCCCTCTGGACACAGTTGCTACCAGAGAAAAAAAGAACTCTTCTTAAGGGTTCAGAGTGGCAATTCAGTGCTCAGAATGAAAGGGATACCCTGCCTCTGCCACATCATGGACCAGAACTGAACACATGACCTGATCCCCTTARGGGAGAGCAGAAAGTACAGTTGTCCCATGCTTGGGAAGAGAGGAAGGCCAGGTGTGTCTGACAACAGCCTGTTGACCACCACCCATGATAGGCTTCATTGCAATTTAGTCCTCGGATTGTTGTGAGCATCAAACAAGTTAATAGAATAAAGAGCTGTATTGGTCATGGCTGTCCGAAAACCCCCCACAAAAGCCAAAAACAGTAGGAACTTGAGCTTGTCTCAGTCCGTATCTCTCTCTTGATCATTTTTGCTACAATAACAAGCATCCCTTAGATTTTGTTCTCCAAAAAGAAGGAGAAAGAGAGAAAGAATTGTTTTAAATTGGCTCATGTGATTGTCAGGTCTGGCAAGTTTGAAATCTGTAGGGCAAGGCAGCAGGCTAGAAGTTCCTGCAGGGGCTAGCATTATAGTCGAGTATCTGAAGGCAGTCTGGAGGCGGGGCTCCTTCTTTTGGGGACCTTAGTCTTTACTCCTAATACCTTCAACTGATTGGATGAGGTCTACCCCCATTATGGAAGGTAATCTGTTTGATTCAAATTTTACTGATTTAAGTGTTAAAAATCACATCTAAAAAGAAAAATATCCACAGCATCAGCTACACTGGTTTTCATCCAACAACTGGGTACTATGGCCTGATAATACCTGAAGTGCAGTGAGCACTTGGTAATTTTTTTGTTTTGTCTTTAAAGCTACACCCGGAGCCACTGCTTTAGAACTTTGCTTTGGTGAATAACGAAAGTTAGAATCATCTCTGTCCACGGTGGTAAAGATCAGTGAAGACAACCCCCTGGGCCTCAAGCAGAACCAGCATCCCTCTCTCTTGTTCTCACTTAACCCCCAAAACACACAAGGGAGAACGCCTCTCATGTACGGCCACCCTGGGGCTCTGGTGCCATAGCGTGGATGAGAACTTCGGGTGTGTGTCTGTTCAGCAGCGTCTTGAGTCCAGCCTGGGCAGGGCCAGGGCTGACAGTACATTAGACAAACAGGTCCCGGCGCTCTGGGCCTGGGAGTGGCCAGGCTGTTCAGTTGGGCAGTGGGCCTGGGCACAGGGCTGCAGGAGCAAAGGAGGAGCCGCCGACAGCCCACGGGCCACAGAGACTTCCTGGGGAGGTGCCTGGAGCCGTTCCCCTGGGTGGGTTTCAGCAGGGCCAGGAGGACCAGTGGTCCTCATTGGAGACTGCTGATGTCTGAGGAGGTGGACACTGAGGGAGGAGGGCCACTGCTACGTGGATGGCGCTGGGCTTGGGGACAGTATGTGGATGATGAAGACCCCTTTGCTCCTCACCAACCAGAAGCCTCAGATGGTTGAGCAGCTCAGGGCTTGGCACGGGCTGGAGCAGGCCAGTCTCTCTGGGCTGCCGTAACCGAGTTCCGCCAGCCGCGTGGCTGGAAGCAGCACAGATGCATTCACTTTCGGTTCAGAGGCCAGAGGTCTGAAGCAAGGTCTGAGCCAGACCTGTTTTCTCCGAAGGGTCTAGGGGGTCCCTCCTGCCCGCCACCAGCTTCTGGTGGTGGCCAGAYGCTCTGGTGTCCCTTTAATTTCTGCCTCCGTCTTCACAGGCCCTCTGCTGTGACTCTCTCTGACTTCCCGTGGCCGCCTATAGGGACCACAGCCTTTGGCTTACGCCCACCTCAGCTTGACTTGATTATATCTGCAAAACCCTGTTTCCAAGTGCAGTCACATTACAGGTCCTGAGAGTGATGATGTTACCACGCCTTGAGGGATACAGTTCTACCTACTACAGGTCCATCTTTTTATATTGTGACATTTTCTCTGTTCCCAGCTACGTGAAGGGCATCTATTCGTTTGGATTAATGGAAACCAACTTCTATGATCGGGCAGAAAAACTTGCTAAAGAGGTAAGTGAGCTTTTACCAGCATGCATGACCCTTCAGAGAGGGGCTATCCGGTAGGGCAGAGCTTTTGAGGGCCACCCCTCATTTGTGACCCACTCTGAGCATCCTCAGAGATTTGGAAGAGGCTCACCTTGGTGCAGTCATCTGCCAAGGCAGGGCTTCCTCCTGTCTGTCACTCATCTGTGCCTTTTGAGGTGTCCAGAGCCACATCCACGTCTACAGATTAGGACAGGGAGGTTGGGGCCCCTCACTCACGTGGGATTGCACAGTATGGTGGTTCTGGGCTCCCATCAGCCCTGTTTGTCTCCAGAGCCATAAGTGCCTGGCTGAGACYGGACCTCACAGGTGACGAGGCAGAAGCAAACTTGTTCTTCTTGCTTGAACTGACCTTGGTAAGCATGGCTAATGGCACCAAGGCTCTGGGAGTCAGTAGTGATAAATAAAGGCTGCCACAGGCTCTTCGTCCTCCTCAAGTGATGAGGTCTTCTTGCCTACAAGTCCTCCTGTTGGCCAGGCCTATTGCTCAGTGTATATACCTGTGGGAAGGGCAAGTGCGGAGCCTGCTAGGTGATGTCTGCCTTCCCAGGCCCCAACTCCATGCCACCTGGTGCCTGCTGCCTGGCACAGAGCTTGGTGGATGCCCCACCAGCCCAGATCTCAGGCCAGGCAGCAGGCCTACATGTATGGCAACTCAAGCTCTGGAGGAGTCCCTCTCTGCCACTTCTGTCCCTGCAGAGTGGAAACTGAGGCTCAGGGAGGGACTGTCCTGCACAAAGGGTGACAGCTGCTCCTGATCCAGCAGTGGACTGGCGCGTCATGTACGCCAGCTCTTGTCCACACTCTGTACCTGTGATCCTAAACTCCTTGTTGCCCACACAAGGCAGGCAGAGGCTCGGAGAGGCCAGGGCCAGAGCCTGCCCTGGGCCACACTGCTCAGTGCTGCAGGTGGTCAGATTCTCACATGGGCCACCAAACTGGAAGGCTTCAAGCTGCCTGGTCTAGACCCCCACTTCCCGGCATCCTAGCTAGGAGGCTTCCCCCAGGTGCGGCCCTGAAGTACCCTTTCCCACGAGACCACCACTAGGCGTGTCTGAAGACTGCCTGGTTACAGAAGACTGCCCAGGTTTGAGGCTCAGGGTGGAGGTTCTTTGCCTTAGCTCTGAGTCAGACCTGGGAGGACTGGGTAGCTTCTTGGCCATCCTGGCTCCCTGGTGACCAGGCACCATTGTCCAGGGGCCAGCCACAGGAAGATCTCTTAGGAGCCATCACAGATGGCTCTCTGGTTGGATGACGTTCAGTGGGCACCTGAGGGACAGCAGGAGAGTTGAGAAAGGTCAGGGGCAGGGAGGCTGTGGGAACTAACATGGCAGATTCACCCAGGGGATGGCAAAAGGTGGAGGCTTGGGTGGGCCTCACAGGGGCAAGAGGCAGTGAGGTGGGCCCTGCTCCCTGGCGCCCCTGGCTCTCGTTATTCCCAGGCCGCACACTCTGACCCTTGCCCTGCCCCCCATAGACAATCACTGAGCATGAAGGCCAGCTACATGTGTCCTCCAGGCTCCTAGGACAGCGAGGATGGTGGCAGCAGCTCCACTGCCCTGCACAGGCCTCCTAGGGCAGCAGCAGGCCCCTAGGCCCACCCCAGGCTAGTGAGGGGCCAGAGGGGCAGTGGCTGGCTGGCCAGGGGAGCCTGAGAAGGAAGCCTGCACTCTCCCAGGGTCCTCCAGAGGGCTCCATGCAAGGGAAGAGGCTGTGGCCCCCTGCCAGGGCCAGCGAGAGCCAGCGGGGGCAGGGCTCTGCTCTGAGCCACAGCCCCTTTCCTCTGCCCTGCGTGAGCACAGCAATGTCCCCAGGTGTCTGGCACCTGGRCCTCCCGGGACCTGGGACCCACTCTCTTCCTCCCACAGGCCCATGCGTAGTGGGCAGAGCCTGTGAGAGCCAAGGCTGGAACAGGAAGGAGGGCTTGCTGGGGACCACCTGTTGCCAAAACCCTGCGTGGGTGCCCGGCTGGGACAGAGGTGCTCGGCCCTTCCGCACCACTGTGGAAGGTGTGGGAAGGTGGAGGCAGTGGGGCTGCAGGACTCGCGGCTCGGCATGGGCCTCACCAGGGGACTCAGAAGCCACCCGTGTGGTCATCACATGAATGTCAGTGGGAGGGGGCAGCCACAAGCCTCTGCAGCTGGTGACAGGAAGGTGGCATCAGTGACCCCTCCACCAGGGGGAACCAGGCCCAGAGCCACCAGACGGACTGCTCAGCAGTACAAAGAAGGCTGTGAGGTTAGCGGCTGAGCTCTGGATTTCGGTCACTCAGCCCCCCTGAGCCTCAGTGTCCTCCTGTGTGGAACGCACGGGGATACCCCCTCAGCACATGCCGGGGTTGGCACCACCAGCTGGGTGTGCCCCAGGCTCAGGGGCCATGGAGCTGGTTGTTGGTTGTGGCTATGCTGAGTCAGAACTCAGTCTTCACACTCGCTCTGCCCTGTCCAGGTCAGACCCTGTGCCCCTTAGAAAGGGGCTGCCCCGGCCCAGGCCACCTGACCGACCCATGCTCTTCCACCCACCCTCCCTAGGCATTATCTGCGGAGCCCACGGATGCGTGGTCGGTGCACACCATTGCCCACATCCATGAGATGAGAGCCGAGGTGCGGGCTGGGATGGACTTCATGCAGCACTCGGAAGCCCATTGGAAGGTGTGCTTCTGTGGTCACCTCCTCTGCCCCAAGGCTTTCTGCCTGGGAGTCCCAGGTGGCTTCGTTCTCCAGAGTGTGATCAGCTCCAAGTACCTGGGCCAGGCAGCAGGGTTCCCTGGGAGCCACAGCTGCCAATCTTCCAGGTTACTCTAGAATTGCTCTTGGCCTGAGGCATTTGGTTGCAAAAGAACTGGATCAAACGGTCACTAGGGAGATTAAAGCCTGGTGTGGGTGGGACCCTGAGTTGGCTGGCATTGGCCAGGGGTTCCTCCTGAAATCGCTGAGTAGCCTCGGGAAGTGTTTGATGCAGCTGGGAAGGAGGCCAGGAGGCCTGTGGGGGCGAGGGCCGTGGTGTCTGCAGGACTGGCATATGGGGGGCAGGTATTGGGGCCTCTAGAGTCGTGGCACCCTGCCAGGCCCTTTCCAGTGGCCCAACCACTCCGGCCTCACCGTGCCCACTCCCAGCTCCTGACTTCACTCAGCCCCACTGTTGACTGGCTGCCTCCTTGGGATCTTTTCCTCCCTCCCTGCAAGCCAAGGAGGCCCTTCCTCCTCTCTGTGTGCCTCTTGCCCCAGGCGTGCTCTGGCACCTGGCCTGGCCACCTGACCAGGTGTCCTTGCTGTCCTGTCCTTCTGTGTACCATGGTGGGCTCCCCAGGGCACCGTCTACTGGGGCAGCAAATCTTCCCCCGAGCCTGGTACCAGGTGGCTGGTGCTCAGTGATGTGAGAAAAAGGACCCAATGTCCCTCCAAGCAGCCTCCTGGCCCATTACATTCCCAGTGGGGTGTGGCTTACAAGAAGGTTCCGGCATCTCCGGAGTGTTCCGGGCACAGCATGCTAAGAGGTAGCAATATTTGAGATCCCTGATCTGTGAGGCCCATGTGCAGATCTTTCTATGGATCCCCAAACTCTGGGCACGGTAAGGCCCCAGGGGCAGTGGAACCAGCCCTGGGGATCCAGGAACCTGCCACCTCTGGCTCCCCAGGCAGGTACTGTGAGTTCTTGTAGGCAGGTGGGCAGCTGTCTGGGGTGAGGAACACTAGATTATCCCAGTCCTCCCAGCTGAGGGGCAGGAGGCTGGCCTAGGCAGCACCGGGGGCAGCAGGCCGGGCCTCCTTCCCGACTTGCTCACAGTCCTCCCCCAGCACTCTGGTTTTACCATGCCTGACAGAGGCCATAGAGGCCCAGCTCTACCCTGGGTCATGACCTGGGTCCCTCTGAACCCAGTTTCCTCCTCTGTACTAGGTGAAGCCTTGGCCCCAGATGAGTCCCCCATCAGTTTGTGTTCCGACACAGCCAATGGTCATCTCAGAATGGGTGATTATCCTTTGGTGTCCTATCTGTCCTGGTGGCTCTTGGCAGCCTCTGGCCTGACTGGATAGCTCTGGGTGTGCGTGGCAGGGCCTGGGGCTCCCTTTCCTTCTTCGGCACCTGCCTTCTGCATCTGCAGACCCAGATCTCAGTGAGACTCCAGTCTCTGCCCCAGGCCTTTGTCCTTCCCTGGGGAATCCTTGAGGGTCCAGTGCAGACTTCTCTGCCCTCACAGGGCCTGGTGACCTGGAATGAGTAGCTTAGATGAGTGCAGGTGCTACCCCGTGACCAATACTCTTGGGGATGTGGAACCCAGAGGAGGTGTCAGACCCCACTGGGTTGGGGGGCAGTGGTCAAGGAAGGCTTCCTAGACGGGGCAGCTTCTGAGCTGAGTACTGAAGGATGATAGGTGTTTGGCAGATGGAGGAGGTGCAAGTGGAGGGTATTCTAGCCCAGCAGCTGCTGGAGCAAAGGCCAAGGCCTATGAGAGCCTGAGAGGGGAGCTGGGCAGTTGGAGGCCACTTAGGTGGACATAGGCTGTGTAGGAGGGCCTCTTCCTGGAGGGGTGAGGTGGGGTCTGGGGAGAGGAGGAGCCACTGCAGGGGTCTCAGAGAAGGAAGGGCAAGCATCACTGTGTGGTGCCTCTGGACAGACAGGGCTGGGAAGGACTGGGGGCAGTGGATGGAGACCTCAGACCATTCACTCGGCTTTAATTGAATACCCACGTTCCCTCGGGGTGAGGAAGACCTTGGGGTTCAGCTCTGTGGAGGGCAGGGAGGAGAAGTTGGGTCCCTCCTCGCAGCCATCTTGTTTTAGGTTTCCAGGGATTGCACACTGACCCTGGCAGGGGTCATGAGCCCAGTCCCTCGAGCCTGGGATGCCCCCGTGGGCCCAGCTCTGAGCAGATCCTGCCTCCATTGAGAGCCGCGCTCCAGCCAACAGCAGCACCACTGGAGTGTCAGCCCGCCCTGCGTGGGCTTCCCCAGCCCTGCTGGAGCACACCCACACTTACCCCCTCACGACTGAGCTGGGGATCCTCACGGTTTGATCCAATTCCATGAGCCCTTGGGGAGCACGTGGGATCTCACATTCCTTCCCTGCTCCTCACCTGAGGGGCTGGACCTGGAGCTACTGAGGGGCTCCCTGCAGGGACCCAGGGACTGCTGCTCCTGGCTGGGGGCTGACAGTGCATCCACTTGCCCCAGCCCCAGCTTCCCCTCTGTAGCAGCAGGAGTGAAGGTTGCTGCCCCTCAGCCCTGAAGGCCATAAGGTAGTGTGCAGATGCCAGCACAGGGCGGCCTGGGAGCCGGTGCATGGCAGGGCTGCCCGGCTGCCCTCGGAGGTGACGGTTCTGTGCAGCACAAGATGGTACTGGTTTCTCCTGGGGCTGCCAGCTGCTTCTTTGACTCTCTTCTTCTCTCCACAGGACTCGGATATGCTTGCTTGTCATAATTATTGGCACTGGGCTTTATACTTGATTGAAAAGGTAAGATGGCCACCCTGTGGGCAGCCTCCCTGTGAAGACTTGGAGGAAGAAGTGCCGTCTAGGGTTTGTTGTCCGCCTCTGCCACTGAGCCCCGTGCTGTGTTTGCACTTGAGCTGGCCTTGGAGCCAGACAGCTGCGTGTTTTCAAGCTGGAGCTGCTAAAAAGCATTTTTCACTTTTTTTTTTTTTTTTTTTTTTGGTACYAGGGATTGAACTCAAGGGCATTCAACCACTGAGCCACATCCCCAGCCCTATTTTGTATTTTATTGAGAGACTGGGTCTTACTGGGTTGCTTAGCACCTCACTATTGATGAGGCTGGCTTTGAACTCACCATCCTCCTACCTCAGTCTCCCGAGCCACTGTGCCCGGCCGTCTTTCACTCTTGATGAGTGGGAGTCATGTGGATTGTGGGTAGTTTGTGACCAGTACCTCTGCTGGTCACAGATGGGAACTCCCAGAAGGAGTGGGGGCTTGGGAGTCCCTGGCCCCAGGGGTTCCTTGAGCTTATGGGGGTGCTTCTTTTATGCTGTCATCATAGAGACAGGAGGCTCCCTGGAGGTCCAGGGAGAGAGGTGTGAGCAAGGTAAGGTGTGGTGACTTGGAATGCCATCACCAAGGCCAGAAGCAAGCAGAGAACCACTTGAATATACAGGAGGGAAAACAGCAAGAAAAGACTAGAAGAAGCTCCTAACAGGAGCCGTGCGCCCCCAGGCTGAGCATCTCTTGTGCAGAGTGCTTGACACAGAAGTGTTGCCGATTTAGGATTTTCTCAGGTTCAGGAATATTTGCGCATGCATAATGAGATATCCTGGGGCTGGTACCCACGTCTGAACKCGAAAGTCACTGATGACTCACGTGCACGTACACGTAGTCTGGGGGTGACTTGGTGCCGTGCTTGGCATGTGCCTTTGTGTTTGGTTTCCGTCCTGGGATGGAACCCAGGACTTCCTACACATTGGGCAAGTGCTCCACCACTGAGCTGCACCCCTAGTCCTTTTTATTTCTATTTTTAAAATTTGAGATGAGGTCTTACCCAGCTGGGCCTCACAYTTGCCATCCTCCTGCCTCAGCCTCGGAGTGGCTGGGATCATGGGTGTGTGCCACGCGCAGCTTGGGCCTGTGTTCTCACTGCATCCGTCACATGAGGTCTGGTGTGGGATTTTCCACTTGGGGTGTCATGTCAGTGCTCAGAGTTCTGGATTTCAGGTTTGGGGTTTTCGGTGTAGGGCTGCTCAGCCTGAGTGAACTTTCCTGGTAGGAAAAATGATGCTTCCACAGAAACTGCTCCCTCCACAGCAGTTTCGGGTCCTGTCATTATCCCAATTCTTGGAGCCAAGAACCAGGTGGGGGCAGCAGGCCTGAGCCCTCCCATCCCCCTTCATAAGGTGGAGGTCCCGTGGGGGCCTTTGGTTGGCTGTGTTCAGTGCCTTTCTTGGCTTTACAGTTTGCCCCTCCAGCTGCTAACCATGGTGACTTTACGTCCTCAGGGTGAATACGAGGCTGCACTGACCATTTACGACCAGCATGTAAGTGCTCCGGGTTCTGTCCACGTAGCRCTTGCCTTCTCATCTCTGATAGACCTCTGTGTCACCAGCACTGTCCCAGCCAAAGAGCAGTAGGAGCAGGGACCCATCCTTGTGTGTGATCTTAGAGGGTTGAGTGTGGCCAAGAGCCGTGTTGTAGCTCGGTGTGCAATGGGCGTCCCATTGACGCTGTCCAGGTGTGTAGATGCTCATGTCCAAGGTGACCATCTCTGTAATCGCTAATTCCTAGGTTGCTCTTCTTTGGTAAGATAATTGATCTGCCCCTGGAATTTTTTTAATGCAAAATGTAAAATTCAGTGGCTTGAGCACGTGGGCCACACTGAGCATCTGTCGCCACCTCCATCTCCAGAACTTACCGTCTTCCTATGCTGAAGCTCTATGCCCACCCTCCTCCCCAGCCCCTGGTGTTCTTTTGAAAAATGACCCAGTGAGGGCTCAGTACTAAGACCTGTGGCCACAGAAGTTCCCATGATTTGGGGGTCTGAACACTAGAGAAAACCCTCTGAACGGATCCTTGACGTGATCGTTCCTCGTTGTCAGGACTTCTGAGAGTCATGAAGGTGGTGTGCACTGTGTGCCGGGAGGTGCAGACCAGGTCACCTGCTGGCAAAGCTGAATCCAGAAATGCAAACCGCAAGCCGAGTCTCCTGATGCTCAGAGCTGGGGGGTGACAGGTGCCAGGGCCTGGCATATGCCCCTGGGTCCTCAGTGTGGCKGGCTCCTTCAGGTCTGCCCTGTGCCCACTCTTGTACATGCATCCGTGTGGGCCTTGACAGGGTGACGGTCTGCATGATTGGGGTGGTGGGTCCTGTTAGCTGAGGCCTTGCTTTGTGCGGGCCGCACTCACAGCCCAGGTCTATTGACTCTGGTCATCCCTGTGCCCCCACCTGCCCTCCCCCACCCTCAGCTGGCCATCTGAGTCCCGCCTTAAGTGGCTCTTGTCTTCTAGATCCTCCCCAGCCTGCGGTCCAGCGGTGCAATGCTGGACGTGGTGGACAGCTGTTCAATGCTCTATCGCCTGCAGATGGAAGGTAGCGTGTCCTGCCCTCCCTGGGCCCCTGGCCCCTCTCTCCCAACACAATGAGGATGAGCTTGAGGATGAGCTGAGCAAGAGCTCCTTAGCCACAGGCCTTGAGGCAAGTRGCCACCTGCCACCTGCCCCCCAGGGGCCAGCTGCATGGCTGTCTTCCACCTGCCTGAGGTCACTGGCCACAGCCACCACTTCTGCTCTTCTTCCAGGCCCCACCTCGCCTGAGCATGGGAGCCTCAGGCTTGTACCCAGGGTGGCAGCTGCTGTTCCCACAGCCTGTCCCTCAGGCCTGTGGGCCTGATGACACCTGGCTACCTACCTCAGTCCTCTCCTGTAGCAYGGCAGGCATCACAGAGTGGTCTCTCAGCCCTGTTATCCCATGCTCTGCAGGTGACCTGGAGAGGGCTGGCCACGGCTCAGGGCTGTAGATGGCTTCCCGCCAACTGCCACAGAGCAGGTGGCCCCCCACTCCTCCAGACTYAGCAGGACCAAATCTGCACTGCCTGCACTAGGCCCTGGGGCACTGGGCCAGCACCCCAGGGACCCGAGGGAGGGCAGTGTGAACTGTTTCTGGAAGGTTCCAGGAAGGATTCCTAGCAGAGGTAAAATGTGAACCATGGAAGTTGATGGTGGCAAGAGACACAGAGGGAGCAGCCAGTGGCCTGTGAGGGACAAGGTGGGAGGACAGGCTTGAGAGGTCATGGTCACATGGGGCAAGAGGAGGGTCAGAGCAAGCAGTTTGGCCTTTATCTGGAGTGGGAGGGAGCCTGCCAGAGCAGTGCTGGGCAGGGCTTGGCTCTGCCTTCCAGAAGGACCGCRCAGCTCGGCTGGAGACCCGAGAACAGCAAGGCGGGGCCAGGGTCCCCGAGGAGGCCAGAGGATCTTCACAGATGCCAGGGGAGCCCTGAGGAGGCCAGGGGATCCCTGAGGAGGCCAGGGTCCCCCAGGAGGCTGCTGCCACACTTTCCAGGCTTAGCTCTGTGGTCATTCCTGTAGTCAAGGAAGTAAAAAAGCTGAAACTGGCCAAACTTGGCCTAGAACTGGGCAGCAAGGGGAGGGCCCCCTGGACCCTGAGACCCTGGCATCCTGCAGGTTCCTCTTTGGAGGAAGAGACCTTGAAAGGCACTTGGAACTCTCTGAGGAGCTTCGATCTGGGCTGCCTCCATGCAGAGAGAGGTTAGGGAAGGGCTGGGAGAGCCCAGACTCCAGCCTTAAGGGAGGTGGCCGTGCGAGGGGGCAGGCAGGGGACGAGAAAGGCCCTTGCTGTCCTTGAAGCACAAAGTGGAGACTCCAGAACCATTGTCCAGTCTGACAGGGTGAAAAAGAGATCAGGAGCCATGTTGGYGGAGAGCAGGTGCCCGGGAGAAGGAGAACCCAGGGCTCGAGGACCAGGGGGCGGGAGAGGGGAGGTGGCGCTGGAGGTGGGGGCAGAGGCAGGGCCGTCTGGAGTTGAGGAGGACAGACRTACAGGTAGAAGGGTGTTGTTGATCCATAGATTTTTAATTGAGCGCCCACTCTGTATCAGACACTGTACTTGTGTTAACAACTGAAGCATTTCAAGTGTTTTGGGGGTTTGTCAGAGGGGTCAAAGGCTGTGTTTAATAACATTTGACAATTCTTAAMATTGGCTTCACCTATACATTTAATGTCCTTACAGTTAAACAAAGTCAACCTAAAGCAGGGTCCACAGGCCTCCTCAGCCCCGCTTACCCGGCTGCTTCCCTGGAGCAGGACTGTGTGGGCTTCCTGAGGGGTGCCTGGACATGGGAGGCCAGAGTGCAGGGCACGTCCTGCTCCCAGTCTCATGCCAAGTCCTGTGTCTCTAGGGGTATCTGTGGGCCAGAGGTGGCAGGACATTCTGCCTGTGACCCAGAGGCACAGCCGGGACCACATCCTGCTGTTCAATGATGCACACTTCCTGATGGCCTCCCTGGGCGCCCGGGACCCCCAGACCACACAGGAGCTGCTGACCACCCTGCAGGATGCCAGCGAGTATGCAGAGGGGCCATGGAGCAGCCTCCAGGGTGGGGCTGGCCCCTGCTGCCTCGAGGGTGGGGGAGCAGGGGCCGTGTGAAGGCCTACTCAAGGTTGCTGCTGCCTGCTAGGGAGGCTGGGGTGGAGGCCATGCAGGGAGTCAGCTCTGGGGACGCCTGCGGAGGGCCATTCTCAGGAGTGTGCCCTGCCAGCACATGATGTCTAGAGGTGCACCTGGTACCCCTGCTCACTGCTCTTTCCATCCTCAGGGTGGGTGTTCGAGCCTCAGTGTCATGAACAGCCTCCCGTGGGGGACACAGAGGGGCCCTGTGACCAGAGACACCTGAGATCCTGGGCCAGGTGCATCTCTGCTCTGAGCCTCAGCTTCCTCATCTGCAAACTGGGGCTAGTGACTGCCCAGGGCTGACAGGTTGCCTGGGAGGCACAGGTGCCACGGACATACCCGCCTGTGGTCGCCCCGACTTTCAGTGCCTTTGGGCAGTCTGAACCTCTCTGTAAGGTCGCCACTGTTCTACCCACTTTATGGGTAAGGAAACTGAGGCCAGAAGTCAGGGCACCCGACCAGGGCCAGGTAGCTGACAACAGGCCATGTCCAGCCCAGACCAGAGTTCAGAGCGCTCTCCTTTCCCGTGGTTGGGTGGCTTCTGTGGCCTCACCCTTCAGAGCACCTGCCCCGGGCCGTGAAAGGGTCCTTGCTGAGAACACTCATGGAGGCAGGACGTCACGCTGTGCAGGACAGCTGCTGAGAGTCTGTGTTGATGGCAGATCTCCAGGAGAAAACTGCCAGCACCTGCTGGCCCGAGATGTGGGACTGCCTCTGTGCCAGGCCCTGGTGGCAGCCCAGGAAGGGAACCCTGACCGCGTCTTGGAACTGCTCCTACCCATCCGCTACCGCATCGTCCAGATCGGGGGCAGCAATGCCCAGGTGAGCTSGCTGCCCCCAGTGAAACTACTGGCCAGAGCGGGAGGGCCTAAGCCAGGGAGCCCGGGCACCTGCGGCCCACCATCTCTCCTGTGGTATCAGTGCCCTTGAGGTGGGAGTGTCCTTGTCCCTCACACTGCCTGTAAGTGTGGCATCGAGGGCTGCAGGCTGTGCTGCATGGTGGGGCTGGGGCCCATCTCTCATCCATGTTACAGGCCCCTGACTTGCTAATTACCTTGCAGAGAGACGTCTTCAACCAGTTACTGATTCACGCAGCCTTGAACTGCACCTCCAGAGCGCATAAGAACGTGGCGCGGTGAGCTCCCCACCCTTCCCCGGGCGCTCACCTCATGTGGGTCTCCCTGTGCCTGGAGGGTCCTATTTCGGAGGTTGGGAAGGCACCAGGCTACCTGGGATCACGTTCTGGGCCAGCCTGCTCAGTGTGCCCAGAGAACCGGCCGGCACCGCCTCCCCATGTACGTCTTCCTTCCTTCTGTGTGGGTCGAGGAGGCCTGAGGGCTGAACGGTGCAGGTGCCCGGGCAGTGCAGAGCAGCCTGGGTCTCCTGGGGCAGGGTGAGGGAGCCAGGGGAGCCACTGCATGACCTGGCCTCCCCGGGGGATGGTGTTCCCTCCAGGTGCCCACCAGGCATAGGCCATCCCATCAAAGGCAGGAGACCCAAGCGTAGGTCAGAATGTGGCCCAGTGTGTGCTGGGAGCTTGGTCCCCAGTGTGGGGATGCTGACAAGCTGGTGGAGCTTTGGGGAGATAGCTAGGTCACTGGGACCTAGTGGCAGCTGGCTAGGTCACTCAGAAGAGAGAATGTACTTCTGGAAGGACTCCATTAGTTCTTTCCGTAGCCTGCTGTTGTGACGCAAGGCCACCCCATGCACTTGGCCCCTTTGGCATGCAGCTGTTTTTCTTTCTGCTTCTCTGTGTTGTGACCCATCCAAGGGCATCATCACCAGAGACCAAACAGATGGAGCTGCCCAATCTTGGACTTTCAGTCTCCAAATCTCTTAAGCTAAATAAAACCTCCTAACTAAGTACCAGCTTCTGGTATTTTGTTACAGCAACAGATAACAGACTAATACACCCTTGGTCCCTAGCCATAGTGTCTCCACCCGAAGGACCAAGCCTCAGTCCCTTCACATCACTCATCCACCACAGAACCCTTGTTGTCAGTTGTTGAGGTCTGCCTTATTCTCTTGGGCTCCCATAAAACACAACACAACACAACACAACACTGCAGCTTACACAATATACTTTTATTGCCTTTCAGTCCTGGAGGCTGGAATGTCTGAGATCGAGGTCCATCAGGGTTTGGGCTCTGGTGAGGCTGCTCTTCCTGGCTTGCAGCTGGCCGCCTTCTTGCTGCATCTTACTTCCTCTGAATGCCAGAGTGAATCTCTCATCCTTCTTACAGGTGCCCCAACCCCATCACGAGGGCCACTCTTATGCCCTAATCACCTCGAAGGCCCCAGCTCCTAATGCCATCATGCTGGGGCGAGGGCTTCAACATGTGGACCGGGGCTGCGGGAAAGACACTGATTTCCGTCCACAGCGGGATCTTTTTTTTTTTGAATCCTGGGGATGGAACCCCAGGGCTGCATGCATGCTAGGCAAGCATTCTGCCACGGAGCTGCATCCTCACCCCTTTTCATTTTTTGAGATAGGTCCTCACTAAGTTGCTGAGGCTGCCCTTTAACTTGCCAGTCCTCCTGCCTCGGCCTCACTAGTAGCTGGGAGTACAGGCGTGAACACCATGCTCAGCTCATAGCAGGGTCTCTACCTCAAACCGCATCTATACTTGCTTTCTTCACACTTGCTCCCAACCCCCACCTCTGTTCTGTAGCTCGATGTCTTGGACAGTGCCGTGTGCTTCCTGCCCATGCCACATCTGCTGTCCCTCTGTCCCCAGCATTGGGCTGATGGATAATGATGAGCTGTGAACTTTTGAGCCTTGGCTTTCCCAGAGGCTAACAAGGTCACAGTGATGTCCCCACCCAGAACCCTTGCCCTTGGTGTCTTGGGTTTCTAGTTTTTATCTCCCAGGTGGAATCGGGTGTCCCAGTCTGCTCCTGCCAGCAGCGCACAGTGCTTCCTCCCCCCACCCTTTCCCCAGCTGAGGCCAGGCCTCTGGGCTGTCCAGGGCTGCTGGGTCCCTGCCTTGGGCCCAAGGGACAACAGGCCTCCACCTTCTTTTGGAAGGTGTCCCACAACCTCGTGTCTGTCTCCCAGGAGCCTGCTGATGGAGCGTGATGCCCTGAAGCCCAACTCACCTCTGACCGAGAGGCTCCTCCGCAAGGCCGCCAATGTCCACCTCCTGGAGTGAGCCAGGCCTGGCCCATGGCCTGCAGAAGCTCAGTGGTGGCCTCCTAGTTTTAGTTGGGCTCCCCTGGGGTTAGGATTAGGAAACAGCTGGTCGTTAGAGGGCAAGATTCGGGCTTAGCAATAGCCCCCTGAGCCAGCGGTTCTTTAGAAAGAGAACACAAATCAAAGTGTGATTCGGCATTTTCTTGGGAAGGGTGAGGGTGAAATTTTCATGGTGCTGCTGTCTCTAGTCGCCTTGTAGATCAGACTTGCCCGTGGGCACACTGAACACCAGCTCCCGGAGTTCATGGGTTGGAAGGTGGGGTTGGAAGGTGGAGCCGGCCATCTGAGGCAGCCCTGGAGGAGGCCTGCCCACACCTGGCTGCCCTTGAAGGAAATCCTGTCCCATTTTTCAGGGGAGGGTGTGATGGGTGGGGGAGTGTGCCCCCAGGGTCATAGCCAGTGAAGCCACCTGACCTCCCTGGGAGGGTATTCCCCTCGCTGTCTTTGGCCTCATCCCCCAGCTGCTGCCCCAACTGCCCTCCTCCTAGATCACAAGCACACAGAGCCACTCCTGCTTTGTCTCTGGAGGGACGTTCTTGAGCCACCCTCCCCGGGGGCTTTGGTGGTGTCCATCTGGGCTTGTTTCTTTCTGAACTGTACCTGGGAATGAGGCCTTGGGTGCACTCTGATTCTATCCCCTGGGTGCACATGCATTACTGGGGTGTGAATTGTGCTCCGGGCTGCTCTGTTGTGCAAAAACCAAAGCACTGGTGCRTGGCTGGAACAGGATTGGAGCTGGTCCTGTGAATGCTGCCTGTCTCCCGCTTCCCCCTGGCAGCTGTGCTGCTGGCAGCCTTGAGGGGGAGGTTCAAGTGCAAAGATGTTTTTCAAGTCCCTTCAGTTCCCACTAAAGTTCACTGGGGTCACTGGAGCAGGAAGTGGGCAGGTCTCCTGAGGGGGAGGGGAGGCCTTCAGACCCACTATGCCCCTGCAGTTTGCTCAAGCCTGGGCAAATTCCCAGGATTAAAATGAGTTAATTGTTTTTTTTTTTTCCCCTAACTCTTATGGGCACCTTTGAATGTTCCAATACTTGGGCTGGATTCTGCAAAAACTAGCCTCTCCTTGAACTTGGGTGGGTGGGCAGCAACTCAAGAAAATAGTTAATAACATATTGATCTCAAGAGAGGTGCTGTGTCTTGCCAGACCTGGTGGGGCATGCCTGTAACCCCAGTGACCCAGGAGGCTGAAGCAGGAGGATGACAAGTTCCAGGCCAGCCTCAGCAATTTATAGAGATCCTGACTCAAAAATAAAAAAGAAATGACCAGAGATCTAGCTCAATGGTAGAATGCCCTTGGGTTCAATCTCCAGTATCAGGGAAAAAAAGAGAGACATACTGGGAGGATGGCCTTAGGCCTGAGCCTAAGCAACTCCAGTTTGAAACCTGCCGTTAGCAGGCACAGCTAACATAGCCCTCCAGTGTGGCCCTCAGACATAAACAAGTCACTTCCCCTCACCCTGATAAACAGAGTGAAGCCTCTGGSAGGCTATTCTCATTTATTAGGTGAGAAGATCAGGGTGAAGACCACCAGGCCAGACACCCCAGGATAAATGGTGTCAAGGAGATATCCAGTGATAGCTGATGAGAATTTAAAGGGGGGGTCAAAAGCCCCCAAATTTATTATAAATAATAGAGCTAATGAACAGGGATTCAGCCAGCCAAAGCAAGGATGTACTGGAGGGCCTAATGAGGACTTGGACTGACATCCCGTCATTTATCATCGTTTTCATGATCCTCTGCATGATCCTCACCGCTCTCAAACTCTACGGCCTCATCTGGACCTTGGTGAGAGCCAAACTTCTCCCTATGACCTTCTCAACTGGTCGTCCAGTCCACACCAGGAGAAGCCTGCCTTGGTTCCAGACCTGATCACCGAGGTTTGAGTGAGTGTGCATCTGCTGGACGTAAAGCCTAAGACTTGAGACTTCTGAACTTAGCACRCAGAAGGAATGTCTGTCATTAGCCTGTCATGATTAAGTGTGTTTTGCAGTGCTTAGAATTAATCTCAAATCGTTTGCTGTGAATTGATTATGTCTATTGCAGTGCTTAGCAGTAAGGATTGCCGTTTTCTTGATTAAGAATCTATAGAGTGAAATTGTATTGAGTGATTTGAGTGAATAAAACATCGAAAAGGGCAGAAGCACGTGGACATTCTTTATTTCTCTCCCTCGACTGCATACATCACAATTTTGCCCCCTTGAGACATGCTGTCTCTACCCAGAAGTTGAGGACGCATTCAAGGGGGAGCCTCCTTCCCTTTTCTGGTTGGAAGCCAGACACAACTTGGCCAAGGAAGTGGGAACCCTAGTCCCTTCTCCAGGAAGCTGTCCACTCCAACTACAGGCTGGTGAGGGTGCCTCCCTTGTGTCCCACAGCCATTGCCACCTGACCTTGCTATTGCACCTTTCTCTCCTGCTGCAACATCAGGTCAGGGACAGCATCTGTGTCCCCAGCATCACTGGCACACGGCCTGCACTGAGAAGCTGTCAGTGAAAGTTGGTGAACGAATGTATGAAAGAATACATAAATAAATGAAGTAGAACCCGACTTGGGGAAGGAAGAAGTGAGCCTACAGCAGACAGGCCAATGATGAAAGAGGAAGCCAGAGAGGAATGGAGTAATGGAGGGAAGATACAGGTCACGCTGGCAACAAGTTATTCACCATCAGTGCTGTTTACTGAGACCCTTCTGGGTGCTGACAGGATATAAGTAGAGATGCATTGGAGTGGGTGTTAGGGACCGCCCCTCCCCCAGCAGACATCCTTAGGGCTGCAAGGATCTAACCAGCAGAGGGCAAGGCAGGAGTGGAGCCAAAGATATATGGACCATGGAGCTCCTGCCATAGTCTTACCTTTTGTTTGCGAGTCAAGTAAGCCCAGCCCTTGCAATCCCAGATTTACTGCAGGTGACACTAACTGGCCACCACCCCAGAGAAGGTAGCTGGTGGGCCCAACAAGACCAGACCGGTGGGGGCGCGTGAGCAAAACCAAGAAGTGGTGGATGGGAGGTCCAAGCCACTGTCCTTTGAGCCTTCCTCTATGCAGGCCACCCCCAGACTTCCCTGTTCTGGGAACCAGGAAATCCTCCTTTCTAAAACCGGCCTGAAGCTGGCTTAGGGTCATTTGCCACCCAAAGGGTGTGCAACTGGGTGGATCTGTCACCAACACTGTTTTCCAGGTAGGTGAGATCSTGAGAAACACAAGGAATGCTACTCAGAAGAGGGCCCAAGGTCAGAGGTTCAGGGCGGGAAAGTAAAGGTAAAAGGGTCCCAGCACATGGATGCCCCAGGATGCTGCAGGAGCCTCGGGATGCAGAGGCATCGGGGATGCCAGGACACGCAAAAGGGGAGTGCGTCGGGAAGGCCACCCTCCTCCCACGCTGCAGACCACCCCGCCTTCCCGAGCCTGGTCTCCCTAGCCCTTCCCAAGCGCCCCGTAGCTTAAGCGAAATCGGGGGCGGGAACTGGAGGTCCGCAGACTTCCGGGCAGGAGTGTCCGCGCCGCGCGCAGCCAAGCCGGCGCGCGGAGGAGTGCGCGTGCGCGCTAGGCTCACTTCCGGTGCTCGGACTTCAACTCCCAGGGTGCACCGGGCGGCGAGCCTGTTCAAACCGACCAATCGGCGGCCCGCTCCGCCCGGCGCTGCATTTAAACCCTCGGCGGGGCGGCTTCGTTTTCCGCGGCCGGCGAGGGTGAAGCGAGGGCCAGGCGAGGGCGAGGTCCGTGGGCCGGTGACCCTGTTCACCGCCGCCCTTTCTCCGCAGGCTCCTCCCGGGAAGCCGAGATGGACGCGGTCGGGGAGAAAGGTGAGCGCAGCCCGGCGGTTCCGGGCGCTGGGGGGCCGGCGGGTCGCGCCCCGGCAGCTGCCCGTGAAGCAGCGGCCTCGCCCGCCTAGGACCCCGCCGGKCCCGCAGCGCAGACGTGTGTGCGGTGACCTGCACGTTTTCTCGTTGGTCGCTGGCTGGCTGTTAGGACYGCGGGGACCGTGTTAGCCGGGGAGCCTGGCCGCTGCTCTGCTTCCTTGTGCCCTTCTGGTCTGGTGGTTATCAGAGGAGAGAGCAGGACATCCACGGAAGGTCAGCTGCCCCTCAGCAGCCCTCGGGGAAACCCCCGGAGGCCCAGGCTCCCGTAAAATGACATGGTACTTGCATATAACGGAGGCRTGTCCTCCCAGTGCCCCCAGTCATTTCTAGACCACTTAACATGTCCACTTCAGCATAAATGCCACCGGTGTCYGTAGTTATCAGTCTGAATTAGGAAATAATGGACGAGAAAAATAAGTCTTCAGGTTCAGGACCGGCTCAATTGGATTCAAGTATTTCCAATCCAAGGTTGGCTGTGTCCACAGATGTGGAAGCCAGGGGATTCAGACGGTGGGCCAGCTGTAAAGGTTATACCCTCTTTTCCTCTTAAAGCATTTTGACATCCTTTTGTCTTTTGTTCCTCAGGACACTCAGGTGAGGCAGGGGCACTAGGTATGACAGTGCCCTCAGCATCACTGTTGTGCGGAATCCTAGAGACTACCTACCAATCATTGTTGCTTCTTCTTCTTGTCTGTTTCCTCTGCACTGGCTCCTTCCTGTTGTGTCCTCCCTTCAAATCAGTCCCTCTGACTACATACTGAACCCCACTGCTCCTCAAGGGCTTCACCCCTTCTTTTGCCCTTCTTCACCTCCATGTTTTTTGCCTGTCCATTAGATCACACTCATTATCCATCCACACGCAAATATGTTCCCTTGTCTTCGCATCTTCTCCCCTACCTCTCCACTGCTGTTCCTTGTTCAGAGCCAAGTTCCTTCTCCTTCCATTCCAGCTTCTGTCCACACCCCTCCAGTCAAGTTGCTATTATCAGTTACTAAAATTCCACATTGCCAATTCTTTTGTCATTTTTCTGTCCACATTTAATTAACCAACTTTCTAATAACATCCCACCTCCTTTCCTTCTGGAAACTTCCAAGACTCTCTTGCTTTTCCTCTCCTCCCTGACCTGGTGAATTGGCATCTCTTTGCAGGTTGCTCTTCCTCTGCCATCTTTACAAGCTGATCCCCCTGGACCTGGCCTGGGACCTCTTTGTACTTTCMCCCAGGTGGTCATCCCATGGGTTTCTGCCCTGTCTGCTTTGTGGACATGCTCAATTTTAGCTCTTTTCTGGGCTCTGGTCTTGGATAGTCACCTGTTTGGCACCTTCACATGAATTTGTGGCACCTCAAACCTAATGTGCTCCCTCACCACACCCCAGTCTTCACTGGTTCTTGTTTGTCTTTCCCAGCAAAGTAAACGGCCCCTCTGTTTACCCAGCTGTGTAGGCTGAGACCTTCCACACACATTCATCACCAATCACTGTGGTTTCCACCTTAAGAATGTATTTATTTTTATTTTTAATTTTTTTAGCTGTAGATGAACACAATATYTTTATTTTTATGTGGTGCTGAGGATCGAACCCAGTGCCTCACACATACAAACGCTCTACTACTGAGCTACAGCCCCAGCCCAAGAATGTATTTCTTTTTAAAAAGAGAGAGAATTTTGATATTTATTTTTTTTTTTTTTGGTTTTCGGCGGACACAACATCTTTCTTTGTATGTGGTGCTGAGGATCGAACCCGGGCCGCATGCATGCCAGGCAAGCATGCTACCGCTTGAGCCACATCCCCAGCCCCCCAAGAATGTATTTTGGATCCATTCTCTTTCCACCTCCATTCAGATGCCACTATCCTGTTCTCAACCACCTCATCTCGTCTTCGCCTGTTTGTCCAGTGTTTTAGTCAGCTTTTTCTCTGCTGTGACCAAAACACCAGACAAGAACCACTTAGAGGAGGAAAAGTTTGTTTTGGCTCACAGTTTCAGAGGTTCAGCCCACAGTCAGGTGACTCCAGCTCTGGTCCTGAGGTGAGGCTGAAAAAAGGAGCAGAGGACAACAAGGAAGTAGAGGGCTCCAATGACCAGGGTGGAAATACAGCCCCCCCCCCCCCCCCCCCGCTGTCACGCCCCCAGTGACCCACCTCTCCAGCTGTACCCTGCCTACCTACAGCTAACACCCAGCTAATCCTTAACTGGGGCTTAATCTGTGGACTAGGTTACAGCTCTCAGGACCCAATCATTTCACTTCTGAGAATTCTTGCGTTRTCTCACATGAATTTTTGGGGGCGAGCTCGTCTAAACCATAACAGTTAGTTTGTGCATTTGTAATTGCGGCTTTGTTTCTGACACACTGTACATGCAGCCAGGGAACCTTATGCTTTAAATCACAAGTTAGATTATAACACTCTCTGAAAGCCCTTCATAGCTTTATATTGCACTTGAATAAAACGAAGGCCCTGTGCCTGGCTGCAGGCCCCCGGGATCTGACCTGCTTACCTTCTACCTCTTCAGCATTGCTGCAGCCACTGACCTCTGACCAGTTCCTCAAACACTTTATTTAATTTCCTTAGAGTGTCCCCTCTGTGTGTTATCCTCTCACTGTGCTGCCTGGTGCATGCTGGAGGGCCGATACCGTGTGTCCTGAATCTGCCTGGCACCTGGTGGATGATGTGGCTTGTCGGAGCTCCTGAGTCTGCAGAGTTTTTGAGTCACGCAGCCCAGGCCGGAAGAGGCTGGCTTCTAGCCCATCATACTTTTTTCCACAGTAGACAGTAGAGAGTTTCTGGAAGTGACCTATAAAATCGATTTCCTAAGTTGAGATTGTAAAAAGTGAAATAGAGCCCTTTCATCTTTGTCCCTTGTTCACCTCCTTGCCTCTTCCAAAAGTCATTGATGTCATCAATGTCTTGTATCCCCTGCTAGAGACACTTTGTGCAAATGCCAGCCTATATGTAGACAGTGCCAGTATATTCTTGTGGAGCACATAGAACCCGTGGAGCACATAGAACCCTGTCCTGCGTCTTGTTTTTCACACTTAATTTATCTTGATGATTGAGTTGTCAGTGTAAAGGCATGTTGTTATTTTTTTGTACCTATGCAGTGTTCCATCACAGGATTGAATTGCAATTTGATTCATCTGCTAGGTGAACACTGAGTCTATGCTTATTGTCTTGCTGTTACAAATGAGTACATTCACAGAAGTGGGCTTGCTGGGTCCAAAGGCATTGCAGTTTTACTGTGACACTTTTGCCAGGTGGCCCTCCTCAAAGCTGCGGCAAATTTTGCCTTGCACAAAGCGTCTAGGAATTGTTTCTTTCCGTGCAGTTTTGCCTACAGTCCATCAGACTTTTTGCTTTTTGCCAGTCTAACAGGTGAAAAGTCAAGCCTTAGGGAAGGTTTCTTTCCAGTTTCTTTGAGTGAGACTGAACTTTTTGTTGTATTTAAGAACATTTTTATTCATTTTCTGTGAAATTTGTTTCCATTTTTCCAYTAGGTTGTTAGTTGTATTCTTAGCAATTTGTAGGTATTCTTATAAATTAGCCCTTTGTGAGATAAGTTGCAAATAGCTTTGTTTCTGCTTCTTGTTCCTTTTAACTTTGCTCATGGTGATTTTTGCCATTTTGAGATTTTACAAATTTTTTATATTTGAAAATCAATTTTTTTATGTTAAGGCTTATGGTTTGGTGTCATAGTTAGGCCTTAGTACTCCAAGATTAAAAAGCAATTTCCTCTTGCTCCTTTAAGGCTTCTTTTTTTATTTTCAATTGATTTTTGATTTATTTGGAATTTGTCCTGATATGATATATGGATCAAACTTTCTGCCCATTATGTCTCCTAACTGTTCATTGTGTATGTGAATGATGTTGATTGCCATGTAAGAATTTTGTCCTTGGGAGTGTTCTTTTATCCTTTTACTATTTATAATAGCTTTCAGTTGATTTTTCTGAGTCTATAACTGTAGCATTGGTGCACCCTCAAACTTTGTCTCCATGTTCTTTCCTTTATCTGTTTATATTGGTCAGTGTGTCCAAAACATTAAGAATTGTGGGGTCTGGCAACACTGCCTCGTGCCTGGCTTTAATGGGCTTGTTTCTGTGGTTTTCTGTTAAGCCTAATGCTGGCTTGTGTGCTGATTTACATGTAGATGGTAGCCACTGGTACCGTTCGTTAATATTTCTGTGGATTTTTTTGGGGGGGTATGTGATGAAATAATACCTCTTACCCACTTGAAGTTTAGATTTGGCTTAGGTGACTTGCTTGGCCAGTGAAATGGGAACGTGGTGTTGTGTGTCCCTCCTGGGTAAATGTCCTTAAGAACCAGCTTGGAATTTGTTCTTTCCTCTTCTCCCTGTCATGGAAACCAACTGTGGTCCTGATGTTGGAGGCTCAGTCAGCCCAGGATCTGAAGTGGGGAGGCCATGGAGCAGGGTCCATCCTACCCTTAGCAGACATAGTCTGAGTGAGAAATATGTCTTTATTGTTCAGCCAGTTGAGCTTGGGGATTCTTTGGGGATTCTTTGTTATATCAGCAGTTAACCTATTCCAGCTGATAAGGTACATTTGCTATTGCCTTAGAAGGAATACTTTTTTTTTTWAATATTTTTTTCATTGATGATGGACCTTTATTTATTTATATGTGGTGCTGAGAATCGAACCCAGTACCTTACATTTGCTAGGCAAGCGCTCTACCACTGAGCCACAACCCCAGTCCAGAAGGAATACTTTTGATTTTATCCCATTGAACCTAATTTTAGCTTTTGGGTTGAGATGACAATTTCCTTGTATGATTAAATACATCTATTACTTTTTATTAAGACCCTTTAAGAGTATATGTTGCATTTTAGCATATGTCTCTTCAAAGTATATGCGTACTCTGTAGTTCTAGTAATATAATGGTTATATTGCAACATTGTGTTGAATTAAACCATGTTACACTCTTGAAATGAAATGAGTTTGGTCAAGTAAAGCATTATTAGTCTTTAATGTGCTGCTGGATTCTCCTGCTGTTGTTCCTGTTGAGGACCATTTTTGTTGACACAGTTAAGACTAGTCTCCAGCTACCTTTATTGAGCAAACTTCACAGTTGTTGTTGTTTTTGTTTTAGTATTTTTAATTATGGATGGACACAACACACTTATTTATTTATTTATTTTAGGTGGTGCTGAGGATTGAGCCCAGTGCCTCATGTGCTAGGCAARTGCTCTGCCCCTGAGTCACACCCCAGCCCCCTTCACAGGTTTTTTGGTATCACTGTGCTTGCTTTACAGAAGCAGGTTACCAGATTTATTTCATTGTCTTCTGGAGCAGTGTAAATAGTATTGGAATTAGATGCTCTTACAGAGCTTTGATAGAATTATCCTGTGAAACCAGCTGGGGTTGTTTTTTGTTTTTTTTCCTTAGGATAGTCCTGTAATAAGTTTCTCCAGTTATTTTATGATAATTGAACTACTAGGATTTACTTTCTTTCTTCTGGACTCAGTTTATAAATCATGTTGGATAAGTATAATAGAAAACCAAATATTTTCCTGGAAAACGATCCGCTTCAGCCATGTTCATAGGCATAGTGCCAGAAGCTGAGCAAACCAGCCTATGAACC